GAGCGGAGCGGCGCTGCCGCGGTGAGAGCCGCGGAACGGGCGCTGCCGGGGGACGGGCACGCCGGGACCCCGCGGGAGGGGTGCGGAGGAGCGGAGGGCCAGGTACAGGATGGCCGGCGGGATGAGCGCGGGGCCGGGGCGAGGACAGGGACCCTGCCCCGTGCCGAGGGCGCGCAGGGCTTGCCGAGACCTTTCCTGACCCCGCTCAGTGAGGAGGCGGCGTTGTCCAGCACAGGTGCCGCCTTTCCCTGGCAGCTTCTCCCGGAGGGGCAGCGCGGTCTGCCCCTGCAGCTCTGGGATCTCCTCGTCTCCTCGGACAAGCGAAGGGCAGAGCGAGAGCGGACGGCGGAAGATGCTGTGCCTCACGGTAGCCTTCCAGTTGCTGCTGGTGCTGGTGCTGTGCAGCCAGGGTACAGAGAGGTGTCCTTCAGCCTTCTGCGAGTGCTCTGACTGGGAGGAATACAAAATCACTTGCAGGGACATCTACTTTATTCCCAGCCTTCCGGAGGACACCCAGACCCTGTGAGTACATTGGGATGGTTTAGGGAAGCCTGCTGTGATTATTCATACTTTGTAGGCAGGAGATACTCTGAGCTAAAGTCCTGTGAGAGGAGGAAGTGCTGCAGAATACCTGGGTGGTACAGGATAGCGGGAACGGCCGTGTGCAGACTCTGCATGGGGCAGGAGGAGGTAGAAAAGTGACTCTCAAACCTTAAAGAGCTGTGAAGAGATGGTTCATTGGATCTTAAAGAGTTCGGTATAAAATATGGGAAAATAAGTAAGTGGGCTGTTTGTGGGCAAAGTGAGCAGTAGGCTGGATTCTGTGTTAGAGGGTGAGGGGAAGGAAAAATAGATCAAACACAATTTTATGATTAAAAAACTAACAGGAATTGGATGTGTGACCTCACAAAGAGTTCCACAAAATGCCCTGTGCATTTTCAGCTTCTTTGTCAAAGGCGGGGGGAAAAAAAAATCCATGGGAACTGAGAATCCAAGTATACTGTCTGGGAGACAGAGTACTTCAGATGAAAGTGTGGAGTACGGGATAAAGCAGCAAATTTAAAGCTTGCCAAAGTGTTAGAGTAATGCAGGTACCTCAGCCTAAGTGTTTGGTACATTACAGGCACAGTAGAAGATCTTGTCTGGGTTCCTGCTGCCAGTTGAGATGAGCATCTTGTGTCATATCTGTCAGTTAAACACTGTAGTGAGACTGAAATGGCACCTGTCAGCTAAATCTGAGCAGATAAATCACTCCTGGCTTTTACTTTGTTTCTTGAGGTACAAAAGCTTTATAGTCTCTATGGGAAAGTTCATTTGTAAATATAGATTGCTTTCTGATAAAGTAAATTAATTCAAATTTGGTTAATTTAATTGCAAGGTAAAACAGTAACAGATTGATTAGTTTGTGTCTTGATAATGATTCTCAGGATTTTATACAAATAAGAACCATTAAATTATTTGAACTTATTTGAATGCTTTTCAGATTTTGTAACACTAAAAGTAAAAGCTTAAATTGGTCATGCCTAGAAAGAAAGAAAAAAGTATTTATGTTATTTCCATTATTTTTGCTTGCCTTTTAATTTTTTCAATGGTTAGTATTTTAGGTGCAGTATTTCAGTTAATAAGATTTTAAATTATACGAGTTTTTTGTTATTATACTTTTATATACACAGTTTATTTAGGCTGAAATTCCAGTGATGTTATGACATGCACCAAGTAGTATGTTTTTTGAAAACTACCATGACAAATTAGAAAACATAGCAGTTTCAGTTTATAGGAGAAATGCCTTTGTACAGGCATTTAAAATAGTTAACAGAAACAATGAGATCACATCATGAAATTTGAAACTTTCCTTGAAATATGCTGGTTTGATTGCTGAGAAATACCTCTCTACATGCAGCTCCACGAATAAAGCACTTTGGCCACTGGAATTCTAGTGTTTTAAACACCTGTAGTAATGGGGGATGTAAAATAGTAAGCCATTGTTTGGAAAAGACAAAAACACCCTGTAAAGATCTTATTTCCATGGGAAAAGTAACAAAAAACAACTGAGAAACATTTTTCTGTTTATCCGGGGAGAAATTCAATCATGTGCACTTATTAGAGTGACCATTGCAAACTTCTCAAGACATGTTCTCCCTACCATATCAAGAAAATATTCCAGGTAATGGCAATTTTGATTTTAAAGTGTATGGCAGAAGCAGTATAACATGTGCTGCATAGTCTTTTATTTGAAAGAAAATGGGAGAATTATCTGAGAAAATAAGGAAAATAGAGCTCTTTTCACCCACAACCCCCTCAAACAAACAAATCACAACACAAATAATAAAGGACATCACATTTTTTTACTTCAAAATGAAGTTTTCTTTCTGGAGTAAGTGTGTTTGTTTTCTTTCTGTTCTCTTATTTAAATTGCTGAAGTCTGGTGGACTGTGCCAAATTCTGTAGTCCCTTGCTCTCTGCAAATGTCTTAATATTTCTTTCCCTTCATATGTTAAATGGGACTCCTAACAGTTACCTATATGTGGTTTTTGTTCAGAGTGCTTTCAGATGCTTCAGATGGATCATTTGAACATGGCAGTTAAAACAACACACAGCATTTTGTTAGAGATTGCAAAGTGTGTGCCCCTGATTCCATCATGTTTTCATCCTTTTGCCAAACAATAGGCAGTAGTTCTGAATCAAAGACAAAAGATCTCAAAATAATTGAAGTTTCTGTTAACCTTAAGAAAGAACAAATAAACACTTCTTTGAGGTGAAATACATAAGTGTACATATCTGCATATTTTATGTTGAAACTCTCTACAATTTTCCCTAAACGCAGCAAGTTTGTTACTTTAGACAAAGTAATTCTGCTTCTTGGTGGTAATGTGTGAACCTCAAGATTGCCAATTTAAAAACTTTTGTGTGTGGCTATTCAGTTTTGTAGGGTTTGTAGGACTAAGAGACTGGTGAGTCTAGGAACACTTTGCCAGCTTTTGGAGATGATGAGCTCTTTTCAGTGCACAGGATCTTGGAACTCCAATTAAAGTTTTGTTCTGATTATTCAGTCAGAACTGTTCTCGTTCTCTACCCTACTTTAAGAGAACGGGGCAAGCCTTTTTTTAAGAAATGCTTTAAGAAATTCCAATAAATGTTTATTTCTAACTCTTTTAGTAGAAAAGTGACATGAACTTAAGTGAGAAAAGTGTGTTTATTTAAACTGTTATTTACCCAAATATAGTTAATGCAGGTGCTTATCCAGAATGCCTGAATGCGCAGATATTGATCTTGAAAATGTCCTTTTTTCAGTATAAGATTTTGTTCTTAGTTTACTTACACATACACTTCACCAAAACCCCACTGAACATTTTTCCAAAGATGTAATTGCATCATAATTCTTAAATTATTGTAATATGCTTCTTGGTATTATTATGATGACATATTCAGATGGTATCACTATCCCAGCATCACCTCAATGCATTTCTCAATGATTTTCATTTTATAAATTTATTTCTAGTTGCTCTTAATTATCTTTCTTTTGACAATAAAACTAATAAAGTTTCACTTTTTATTCAATGTGCATTACATCTCCTGCATTCACTTACTAAAATAACTTAATCCCCTTCCCTTCCCTTCCCTTCCCTTCCCTTCCCTTCCCTTCCCTTCCCTTCCTGTACCCAGGTGCTATTTTCATATCAACATAATAAAATTTGATTGAAATTGAACAAGAGGATGTTGGGCAAGGACAGTGGAACCGGTATATAAATAGACACAAAACCAGTCCAGTCTTCAAGAACATGCTCTTTACATTAGATATTAAGCTACAGTTCTGCATTTGCTCCAGTATATTTGCTGTAGGTAGGATACTGCCTTTTGATTAATGCCCATACATTTTGTATATGCTGTAGGTAATATAGAATGGCTACACATTTTGAAATAATGTTTTAGTTATTAATTCATTTTGCAAAAAATATTTAGTTATTTTCATTTGTAAAAGTATTTGATTATTTCTAGAGACAAAACCAGATTTGAACGTTCTTAAAATAATTAATTATTTATTTCTACCAAACACTGTTATACTTACCAAATCCCTGAAATCATTTTATCAGTTGTCTTTCAGGTAATGATTCAAATAGTTCTATGTACACAGCTGCAACATAAAATGTTTCCTCAATACTGTATTTTACATAAAACTATACTTTCTTGTCAATTCTTGTATGTACTATTGCCTCAGTTAAAGTGAAATGTTAAAGTGAAAGGATTTGTTCATAATCCCAATGGTAAATTGAAGCACTGTTCTAAGGGTTCTTGAAGTAACTTACAAACTGTGCACTGCTTTACTGCACATACAGAGCCAACTCAAAGTGATACGATGAAGAACAGGAATGAGGGACTACAGTAACAGAGAAACTACTTAAGACCAAAATAATACCTTGCGAGCATTGAATACAATATAGTCTTTCATTCCTTTTTAGTCATTGTATCAGTAACATTCCTTGTACATTTGGAATATTTAAATTTCACACGTCATGGCACAGAAACCCATCAAGTGCTAGGAACAGTACAAGCACAAACCAAAAAGCTGTTGCCATTCCTAGTAGAAATGAACATTACTTTGGCATTTTTTAACTACACACATGGCTTGCTCAAGAGAAAACAGAAGGACTGTGAGTAGTTCTTTTGTAAATACTGTGAAGAGATTAACCTAAATGAGAATATAACACATTTTTACAGAAGACACTTGTGATAAGGCAGTAGAATTTCATTTGCTTGTTTGAGAAGATAATGAGTTTTGATCATCATAGTAGCAAAAGAATAGTTTATACCAGAGTTAAAAAACTTATTTTTGAAGTTGATTTCAACAGTGGTTTAACAGACTGATTCTGTGTTACACTACACTGAATCTTGAATTGCTACTATAGTCAGTTTTCATTACAGTGTTTTCTTTTGACATAACATTTCCAGCCCATTACACTTCAGAAGCACACAACAGTCTTCTCTTGAATTGGGAAACAGAGCTTATTGATACATCTGTAAAAGGAAAGAAGAAGCCTAAATTTTACAAAAATAAATAAATAAAAACAAATCCACATGACTACTGAGGAATAATTTACAGATTTTTTTTCAAATAGCTAATATCAGTTTAGAGGGTAACTTTTCATGAATCTGCCTCATACAGTCTGTTTATATATTTGCAAAATCAAGAAATATTTGATGTTTTCCCTAACATGGGTTTACAGAACCTCAAAACAGTCTATAAAAGGTGGTTATATTTTGAAAACTGGACTGTCTCAGGAAGTGTGATTGAACCTTCCCACATGCAGTTCAGAGAGACTACTGTGAAATGTTAATTTTCCAAATTAAGGAATAAGGAAAATGAGATACAGTCTCAGTTCCTCAAAAACTCCGCTTTAAACATGCTTTTGTGTTCTGCTGGACTCAGCCCTTACATATCCTTATGTTCACAGACTACACATTAAAGAGTCTCAAAAAAATTAACAATATATATTGTGAAGCTGCTAATATCATAGCAGCTTTTTAACCACACTTAGGTGGTTACTGTGTGGTAGTCGAAATTTAGAGAGTAGAAAAAGTAGCTTGTTTTACTCAAAAATGAGAAGTGAGCCATCTGCAAAAGGTTATTTCATGTCAGCAGCTTCTATTCCATTCAAGGTTGTGCATTCCAACAGTGCCCTGATACCTTACCCAAGTTAATGGGAAACGACACTCAGGATTTTGCAAAGGGCAATGCTATCGACTCAAGCTGAAGCAATGAAAGCAGCTACAGTAAACATTACCATTTAAACCTAAATGTAGGCAATGAGCTGCTGACACATACTAAAAGAAGATTACTTCTCTCTCGAACTCCAGCCAGTGAATGTGATCAGTCTGGATCTAAAGGCATTTTAAATGTCACTCTTTACAAAGAAAGGTTGAATCACACAACATGAAAAGTTTGAGCTATTTTTTTCTCACAAATAAGTAGATACATAAATATAGAGGCTGGAGAGCCCATAAAGGTAATTAAAATGAAACCTAATAATATAATTTAGCATAGAATCATACAATAGTTTGGGTTGGAATGTACCTTTGAAGATCATTTAGTCCACCTGCCTCTTCAAGGAGAAGGAACATCTTCAACCAGATCAGGCTGGTCAGAGTACCATCCAGCCTGACCCTGAATGCTTCCAGAGGTGATTTGTCTACCACCTTTGTGAGCAATCTGTGCCTGTGTTTCACCACAGTCATTGTAAAAGTGTCTTCTTTGCATCTAGTCTGAATTGAATTAGTTTAAAATCATAATGCCCTGCTTTATTGCAACAGGCACTACAAAAAAGTGTTTCCCTAACTTTGTTAGAAACCCTCTTTAAGTACTGGAAGGCTGCAATAAAATGTCTCTGGAGTCTGCTCTTCTGCAGGCTGAAAAAGCCCAGCTTTCTCAACTTTTCCTCATAGAGAGAGGTCCCAGCTCTCTGATTATCTTCATGGCCCTCCTCTGAGCCCACACCAGCAGGTCCTCATCTTTCCTTAGTACTTACTACTCTGGAGCTGGATGCAGTACTCCAGGTGGGGTCTCACTAGAGCAGAGGGGCAGAATCCCCTCCCTCACCCTGCTGGCCACACTGTTTTGCATGCAGCCCAGCATACGACTGGCTATCCAGGCTCCAAGTGCACGCTGCTGGCTCCTGCCCAGCCTCTCACACGCCAGCACTCCAAGTCCTTCTCAGCAGGGCTGCTCCAATCTGTTCATCCCCAGCCTGTGATGATACCAGGGGTTGCCCTGACCCAGATGCAGCACCTTGCACTTGGTCTTGAACTAAACAAGATTTCCATGGGTCTATTTCTTGAGCTTGTCCAGGTCTTTCTGGATGACATTCCATCCTTCAGGTGTATCTTAAGCTTAAGGTGTAAGCTTAGTGTCATCAACCAAGTTGCTGAAGGCTCACTTTACCCAACTGTTTATCTAATTGATGAAGATATTATTCTCTGCTGGGCACAAGACTTGTGTATTTGCCCACTACTTGGCACAAAACTTTTCACTACTCTCCATCTTTACACTAAGCCATTGACCACAACACTCTGAATGTGATCATTCAGCCAATTTCTTATCTAACATTCCACTAATCAAATCCATCTCTCTTCAATTTAGAGAGAAGGATGTTGTGGAGCACTGTGTCGAACACTTTACAGAAGTACAGATAAATGACATGTGTAGCCCTTCCCTTGTCCCCTGATGTAAGCACTCCAGCAGCAGAAGGCCACTGGGTTGGTCAGACAGGGCTTGCTCCTGGTGAAGCTGTGCTGGCCATCCCAAATCACCTCCCTGTTTTCCTTTCCCAAGAACAGAGATGAGATTGAAGCTCAATAGTTCCCACAGTTTTCCTTTCTACCCTTTTAATAGATGGGTACAATGCTTCCCCCTTGCAGTCACCTGGGACTTCACCTGATTGCCATATTAAAATACTATATCCTCATATATTTTCTTTTATTGTGATCATAGACATCCCTATTTCATTATTTTTGAACTAAATTTTGATTCTGACCTAAAACCTGTACTGTTTCTTTTTTTACCCTGAAGTTTAGACTTTTATGATTGCCTGCAATAAAATGTACCTACAATAGAGAAGAGCTGTGTTTCTGAAATATTGAACTAAAAGCCTATAAATTGCTGCAAAGAAAGTTCAAACAGGACCATGAAATTTCAGAAAAGAGCAATCTGAAGAGGCTCACTTCCTACAGGGAAAGAGAGTAAGAATAGGCTGTAATTGCTAGGTACTATTGTGTTTAATCAGAGAACCACTAAGTGCCTATAATTGCTGCCAGCTGCTCAGTAGAGGTCAAAAAGTCAAACTGAATGTTAGGAATTATTAAGGTAGAAATATAGATGAAAATAAAGGAATTTTTTTTTTGCCTCTGATCATGAACATAACACCTGCAAAAGGACATTCAAATGCATAAATTACTTGTACACGAAAAATAACTACATAGCAGCCACTAGCCTGTGTTTCCTCAGATCCTTCTTTTTGCCTCACTAGAAGACATGTGTGATGCTTTTATTTTTTCAGACACAACCTTCCTTGATCACTGTGATATTTCAAAGTTGACAGGGTAGTTTCAGAATGGTTTCAGCCAGTTCCCTCATTGCTCTTAGTGCGACACGTCTGGTCCCACAGATTGCTGTACATCCAGTACACTTCAGAGCTTCTTTGGTCCATCCTCCACTCCACATAGTGCTTCATTTCCTCAGGCTGTGCTGCCAGGCAAAGGACTTAAGAGGCGTGGGAACAAATTTTTAAAAAAACAAAAAAATTGCAGAAAAATGGCCTGATTTTGGCTGGAATAGAGTTAATTTTCTTCATAGTACCAACTATGCTGCTATTGATTGGATTTGATTTGGATTTGTGCTGGAAAAAGAATTGACAATTCAGGTATGTGTTAGTTATTGTTGGGCAATGCTTAGAGAGCTACAGCCTTTTCTGCTTCTCATACCACCCCACCAGGCTGGAGGTGCACAAGGAGCCTGGAGGGGACACAACAAGCTGGCATTTTGCTTTGTTGAACCTCATACAGTTGCCTTGGTCCATGACTCCAGCCTGTACAGGACCCTCTACAGAGCCTTCCTACCCTCCAGCAGATCAACATTCCTGCCTATCTTGGTGTCATCTGAAAACTGAATGAGGATAGGATCATTCCTTTGCATAAAGTCTTTTTTTACCCAAATCCAATCAGAAGCACAAACCGAGCAAGGATAAGCTCCAGCACTGTGGATTGGTATTTTCTGTTCACTAAAAATTAGCAAGTAACCAACCTAAATTCTCGCCTGTCCGTCTGGCAGTGTCCGGATGTACCTCAGTTTGTAGGAAGAGGATACATTAGCAGTAAGAGCTTGCTTTCCATAACTACTTGTTCCAAACACTGACCTGTACAATTTCATTTTGAAATAATCTAGTATTCCTTTAATTTCTTAGGGCTGGGCCAGTTTTGAGGGATACTTTATGCGTTTCAGTTGGACTGCTGGATGTAGAAAAGCACCTATGTAGTCTCACATATTCAGAAGTGATTCCCTACGTTCAGAGCTCCTTTGCTGTGTGAATCTTTCTCTCGTTCCACTTTCCTCATTCCAATTACCATATTGGTAATACTAGCATTGGACAGCAGGTGGTAATCATCTTCTGGTAAACTAAGCACTATTTTCACTACATGAAATGCCTTTTTATAGCTATTTTTGCACCATTGAAAAACTACAATGCATTCATTTCAGAATAATTTAAAAAGTATATTTTTGTTTTTGTTGGATTTAATTTGATATGAAAATCTAGAAACTAATGTGTCATTAGCTGTTTATGTAGCCATTACTTTGTTGTCATGTTTATTTCTCCTATGCAAAAGCTAGAAGGTCATTGCTTGTTATAATTTTCTCAGAAAAATTAAATTAGGATGTAAAATTTTTTACTTTGTTTCAAATTGACAAACTCTGTTTCATATTGATATATGGTGAATTTTTCTCCCTGTATTGGTGGAGAATTGTTTATTAAAATACATAAAGCTTTTGTTGGTATGACTCGAATTATAAATAATATAGTTTCAATCTGAAAATTTTTGGGTGGTGTGTATTTACTTATTGTGTTTTGCAGATGTGCACTTAAAAATTCTTTTTAAATTAAGAGGCAACTACATAATTCCCTAATATATCTTACTGAAGTAATATCACTGGTACTGCTGTGGATGTTAAAATAACATCTATGTGAACATAACCTCTGGACCGACTGACATTCCTGTGGTTGGGAGCTTGTCTGGAGCCAGGTGTATTGGGGTCAACCCACTGCTGGAAAAGTCTTTACTCATTCTGGTTACAAGAATATGGAGCAGACAAGGTAGACTGGGGAAGCAGATTCTTCCCGTGGAATTATGGGAATGTACATTCTCTTAATTTATACTTTAATTCAAGACAAAACCTTTAAGAATTTCTGCATATGCTGTTATTATTAAACTCTATTTCTACAGTTTTATTTCTTGTATGCAAGTTCCAGAAGCTTGATAAATCTCAAGATGATAATATATTTGGCTATGTAAATCAAATATAATTATAGTAATCAGATACTTGGCATTATGAAATAAAACAGAATAAAGAAATTATCCTAATTTGTTTATTTCTTTCTTTAACTGCTGTTAAATAGCAACTAGGGGAAAGGTTTATAATTTGTTCCTGATTATTCTTCAAACTATTCATTGCCTAGATATTCTGTAAGAGTATTCCCAAACTGTATTGGAAAACCAAAGATTAACAACAGGTTATAACTGTAAGTTTAACAGCTATCATAGGCTGATTTTCAAAAGCATTTCCTCCTTTCTTATTTAGAGGAATGAGTCTGCTGGAGATTCATTCTGTCAAGAGCTTGGCTGTGGATAAGTATCTCCCTTAAATATTGCGGGTTTTTCTGAACTCTCCGGCAGGTGGGTAAGGTACATGCCACCCCTGCATCAGATGCTTGGGGAGAAAGAATGTAGTATTTATTACAAAAAAAGATGGAGGATTCTGTGGAGGTAATATGCAATTGCTCTAATTCAATTTTGGCTGACATACCTGAGTTTCTTGCTCAGAATGAGGGATTGGATATTTTTGTGGGCCTGAAATGATTAGAATTCTCTTAATACTTCATTAACTTCAGTAGGCAAATATATTTTGCTGGTCATGCTCTGGAGTTTTGGAAGGTCCATCATCACCACTGACTGCTGAGCTCTTGGGAGGGATGATGCAGAAAGCTGCAATTTAGATTGATGGGCACATCAAACAAAACAAGCAACATAATGAAACAGGAATAGAAATGAGGCAAAGATGGCAACACAGAGAAAAGGCAAGATAAGAACAAAAATATTGGAGCAGAGCTGAAGCTGTGTAGGACTTTTCAATGTTAAATTGTACTTATCAAAGGATATTAACTGCCAGACTTTTGTTTCTCTAGGAGGTTTTTGGAGACTCATCTAAGAAAAATTCCAAGTGACGCTTTTTCCAATCTCCCCAACATCTCTAGGATGTAAGTTCTGTTTGGTTTCTTATGCTATTCTTTTAAATTTTTGTTAAAAATTACTCTCCTTCTCCCAAATTCTGTCTTTGTGTATAAAAACCTATGAAAATATTCGTGTACCTTTGCTATCTCACCACTTATATTTTAGAACTGAAGGTATAATTCTATTATTTATAACCTGAACCAGTTGTAGGAAGGCATTCTGTACATTTGTGAACAAGACCATTCCTCCTTTATTGAAGTTAAAGTGATAAATAAAGCTATAAAACTTTTTTTTTTTTTTTTTTTTTTTTTTTTTTTTTTTTTTAGTTTGCAAATTACAGGAAATCATTACACTCATAACAAATTAACATATTCAATTGCTAGTCCTGGCTAAAAACTTGTTCCCAGCTGCTAGCATGATTTGTAACACACCTCTTTGGAAACCAGGGGCATTTCTAGACCAGATCTGGACTTTCACCAAAACATTAATATTTGTATGACGTGACAGAGACTTCCATTGTGCCATTTCCTTTGTGTGCACCGATGCAGTCCACAAACCAGCTGTGCTTACATTTCTCCCGCTGAAGGACAACTGTCCCTATGTTAAGGAAGCTTGCCTGCCCGACCATCCCAGAGCCACTCTGAGTCACGTTCACACCATTACCAGCTCCACCCCACATTTCCCATATCAAAATTTCAGATGTCCAGATCATTTAATCTTGATTCAATAACTAAATAACAAAATAGCCTGAGTTTGGTGCCTCCAAGAAGGGACCCCAAACAAAGGAATCCCTGGGGTTTTACGCTATCACCATTTAAGTGCCCCAACATCAGTGATCATTGGCTCCTGCTGTGTCTCTGAGCTCGCCCTCACCTGGCTGCCCACAGACCCCTTTGCAAAGGGTCAGCAGCTCATGGCCCCTTGCCTCGGGCTCTCGCTGCTCAGAGCTCAGCTTGCAGCTCACACTGCAGCTGCAAGCCCAGCTAAACCTGCCCTGAATGGATTCCTCAACAGCTGCCCTTGCACTATACTGCTCATTGATGTCAGCAGTCTTGACTAAAAGTTGTCCCGCATTCATCTGTTCTTCGTCACTGGCCCATAATCTGTGATCCTGTGTGTGTCTGATGCAGTGAATTCCTCTGCCACCTCACAGTTCACTCCCCAGAATCAGAGCCCTGTAATTTAGAAGGGACCTCAGGAGAGCTCTAGTCCACAATCTGCTCATACGATCTAACCAGAATGGACAGGGCTCTAACTCGGGCTGGTGCTCAGCTGTATCTGTGGCTACTGTTAACAAAATAAACCACCTCATTCAGAAACAGGCCCTTTTTTTCTTGTTCAGCTTTTTATTACTAATGTAGCAATAGGAATTCTTATTCTTGTCTTTGATGTTCCTTGCAAGTCTCAATTGTATATGAGCTTTGACTGACTAGCTGAGGATTACCATTTAAGAATTCATAAAGAAGAACTTAGAGGAAACATGGTCTGCCTATTATATTTTATAGTTTCATCCAGATATACTGAAATACTTTCTAAAATCCTTATTGTTCATGGATATCTGCAGCTTCATTTACCATCTCAGTTTAATCAGATAGATGGTGTATTGTTTGGGGTTTTTTTGGAGAGGAAGGAATATCTCTCACTTGATGTATAGTATCATATATAAAAAGGATAAACTTAGTTTAGAACAGAGTCTGATTTGAGTGTCAGCCCTTCTTTGGCTCCAAAAGCTCAAAATGACAGTTGAAATCTGAATAGTGTCAGTGCTCATCTGGATATTTCTTATAGCATTACTACTACCACAAAACATGAACTTCCACTTCTTGATATAAACCTCAGGTTGAGGAATCAGTACCTGTGTTTTAACTACAACTTTTGTGTGTATGTCTTGGCCTCTAATGTACCACATGCCTCATTTGCCTCTCCCAGCCCATAATTTTCGTGCAATGAAAATTACCAGATCGTTCCTGGTTTTGCAAATTCATCTAGAAAATGTTCTGAAGTGTCAACAGGGGAATATACACTGTATTTACTGTTCAAAATACAGCAGTTCATTTTGCTATATGGTGCCTACTAAATGATTTACACAAATAAACATGGAGGTTTTTATCTGTAGTGAATAGAAAATTTAGTTGTCCTCTTTATGAACCTTGTTTAAACAAAAATTTCAGAGCTATAATTTCTCTTAAATGAATGCATGTCTATGTACTCTTGATAAACAGAAGAGATATTTCCCCCCTGTGCTGCTTTTCCACATGAATAAAAAAAAAAAAATTAATTACATGCTTAATTGCAAAGCTAATTCCTGTCAGAAAGGCATCACTGAATAAAAAAAGTTTTATAGGAAATTCAAATGCAAGAGAAATGTTAGTAATGCAAATACACTGAATCTTAGTAAAAGGGCTTCACCTGGTGCTTTCTGCTGACTTAAGGCTGTATTGAACATTTAGTATTTTTAAGGTCAAGGATAAGGAACATTTATTCTGGGTTTAGGATGGTGCTTTGGGGTCATACTTCTGAGTAGCTCACTAACACCCATTCTGTAGCTCCTCAAAGTGTTTTCTCCATAGCTTCTCCACACAAAGGAGCATCCCACAGTGCTCTCTGCCAGCAGCCCCATACGATTCCCCTGTGCACACTCCTGTGCAAGACAGTGCCTTTCCCACCCTGTGCACACTGCTGTCCCACAGCCAGTGCCACCACACAGCTCCCCACACCTCACTCAGATCTGCACCTCTTGTGCTCCCCAGTGCCAGCTGATCCAGCACAGCCTCATCTCAGTTTCCACTGCCTCTCCTGCTCCTGGCTGTCCTCTCCTGAAATTCCCCACAGGTCACCAAGCTGCTCTCCGTCAGCAGCAGAGGACAACAGGGGCAGCTGGTGGCCAGCAATACAGGGGATGCTGAGGTTCGAAAAAAGTAAAGAAAGGTGGAGAGAGGGAGAAGAAAAAAAAAGAAGGCCTGGGAGAGGGCCTTGTGGCTGCTGCCGTGTTGATCTGATTTAAATCTTCCACTCCCAGGCTCTTTCTGCATGTCATCATAGCTGGATGAGAAAAACAATGAAATGACAAATGAAGGGGCATGACAGGGACTAGCTGTGGCTTCCCAGTGTTTGAGACCTCTTTATTTTTCTGTTTGCTGGTGTTTAGTTACATCTCTATAGATGAAACACTTCAGAGTCTGGAGGCCCATTCCTTCAACAGTTTAAGCAAAGTCACTCACATGTAAGTATGTTAATTAAATAAATGAATACAGTGATGAGATAAATTTGGAATGTGTGGAAACAACATACATAATGATGTTTATCATTCCTGTCTCTTATGTAGCTAAATATTCCTTTTCTCATTTCGTTCTCCATAATGTGGAGCGAGTTAGTCTCTTTCTTGAGCTTATTTTATTGAGCTTGTTTTCCATACATCTTTTTGGTTCCCTTGCTCTTCTGTATCTTCCCATAGAAATGCAGGTAAATGTAGTGAAAAACTAGTGGGACTGCATCATGAGCTTGATGTCAAGTTGAAATAAAATGGCAGCTATTAATGTCAATTTACTGCATGTAAGTGTAAAACAGTAATATAAACATCATAAATAAAATCAGAAGGACCAAAGCACAGAGCAAAATGGCACTAGCTGCAGACATGAAGAGTAAGTGACCATTCTGAAAGCACAGTAGTAAAATGAAGAGTGTTTATATGGTTATTAAATGGAACAAGAATATTATGGAAAAAGGCTTCTGGGAACTGCTTCTATACATTTTTGTTCTCATGTTCTGACCAATCCATACCAAGTGACACTCCAAGAGCACTTCCAGAACTGGTAGGATGCATCCAGAGAATTCTTGTCATCCATCAGGACCCTGTCAAAATGAGAATGTAATGTATTGAATAGAGAGCTCCATAGAATCCATCCTGTATTTGGTACTCTTCCATGTTTCCATTACTGATCCAAAGGAGGGATTGAAAAGTGTGCCACTGTTGTAGAGCTCAGCTGAATTACAGTTTGGCATATTTCAGAGATTTTTGTTTGCAGTTGTTCCATGGGAGAGCACTGTTGGTCACCATGGATCCAGAAAACATTGCCAGAGAGAAAAATCTTTTGTGTCCAGAAAGAAAACATGCCAGAGGAAGATTTATTTTTTAAGGTTGTAGCAGGAGGTGAAAGCTACCACCCATTTTCACACTTATGTTTGAAAAAGTAAAATAATGTTAAAGTAGATTAGATGAGGCTCATGACAGCCTCTAGGAAATGCATTCCTATGGCTGGTATAAACACTAGGATTGTTCTCCTGGAGATATTGTCTCTACCACTGCAGGCCTTTAAGGCTGTATGATCATCAATTCCATAGATCTAGTTAATCTTCATTCAGAGAAAGAGATTGAATTAGATCATGATTTAACACTGCTGTATTTTCTATGTTTTTCTTTCCTTTTACTTTACACAGTATGAATCAGAAAGACTAACAAAGTTACAGGAGAAAAATATAATTATTTTAAATGAAAATAAAGAGAGAAATTAATGCTGGAAAGTGTAGGTGACTCCTCTAAGAGAACAAGAACCTGACTGGCATATCTAGAAGCAGAGTGCAGGATCCTGAGATCTACTTCAGGACAACAACATGCTCCAGTAGTATTTCTGAGTTTCTCAGCAAGGCTTCAGTGTGATCTCAGTACTTACCTTTGGTTATAATACCATTCCCTATTCTGCACATGTTTTTTCCCAAGCCTGTCATGTCCACATTCTCTCTTCCTTAGTTGTCAAGTCTTTAAAATTTCTTAACACAAATGAACATTTAATGAAATATTTACTGGCAGCACATTTTATCAGCAATGAATAAAGCATCTGTCACTATGCACTACAAATTCCTCATATGGTACTTCTTTTGTGGTTCACCTTATTAGAAATTAAGGATAAAAAGCTCCAGAAGTCTCCAAAATCAGTGCATTATCCCACCCACTGCAGCCCCCAGGCCTGGATGTGTTGTCCATGGCTGGGAAGCTGCAGGTCTCTGCAGGTGTAGCAGAGTTCACAGGCACCTGATCTCATGTCACCTCCGGCACAGGCTCTGGGGAGGGCATGGAGAGAATGTTTCCTGCTCCACTCTACAGGGGTATGGTAATGTGGGACCCCTTAAACTTCTTGCAAAGCACTGCAAAAAGAGAAACTGTACACAGACATACAGGATATATTTTGGGGTTTTTTTTCTGCACAAAAGTCAAAATTACTACTCAGGACAAGAAATCAGAACTCTGCTCACAAAAGTTATAGGAAACCCCCGAGCTTTTACAGATAGCCCACAAAGAAGGGCCACCTTCATACACTCAGAAGTGCTTACCAGGTTTATAAAATGTTTGGAAGTAAGGCACGTGTATGATTTAATCAGGGAATATCCAGGCATCTGGCAAGTTAGACAGTTGCATATAAGCTGTGAAAGAAAGCAGTTTATAGACTTGATCATTTTTATGATTTTGTTTTAACTATATCTGTGATAACTATTATCACTGTTGAGTTTGATTTACTTTCCAAACAAGTGGATTATACAGGGATATTTGTATCTTGTGCTATGCATTAATTTAATGCTCTCTATTTACATAGTTTTTTTTAAGTATTATTGCTAAAATAATACTAGGTTAAGATTATCACAAAATATTTTAAAGGAGGTTGAGATTACTGTAACAGTTTTGAAAAGTCATTTCACAGTTTTATTTTTACAGCTTGTTTTTCTTTTAATTTTCATGAAGTGCAGCTTTATGTAAATAATCTTTTTACCCTAACTGAAACTTATACACACAGTTTCATTCTCAAAACATTTGTTTTTAGACATAAGAACTTCTTAAGAGAAAATGCAGTGTTTGTGGAAGGGAGGAACTAATGCTTTGCTTTAAGCCAAGTGTTATGTGAATAGGCATCCTGTGTTCATCATGATCTGTCTGCCAAGCTTGTTAGTGCACTTCAGCCTTGATCTTCAGCAGCCCATTTTCTCAGTCCTTATTTGGTTCCTGTGCCTCTGTCCTGACTTTCTGTTCCTTTCTGTTCCTCAGCTCTTTAAGAATAGGTCATATTTTTATGCATCCATGCCTTGCAAGTACAGAGCAACTTTTGCAAACTAAGGATACTGATCACCTGCTCTATTTTAATGAGTCACATCTAATTTTTCTGGTAATTAATGGCAACATTTCCACTCTATGAAGATGTAAATAAGGAACAAACTTTTGCTGTTTTTTTTTTCTCCCCAGTTCTGTTAAATTGGTCTCCCAATAGTTTCTTGTTTCCTCTTTTTGTATTAACCTTTTTTAAGTATGTCTGTTTACGAATTCAGAACTGGTTGTCTCATACAATTACATAAGTATGTATTTTTTGTAAATTTAATTGTGAAAGGGTCTGATTAGCAGTCAGTGTCTCTGTGTAGTTGCCTTACTAGTAGGGCTGAAGCTTGGTAACATCACACTAAATAAAAACCTGTTGTAATTAGGTCTCTCTTTCTCAGGGAAACATTCCTGCAAACAGAACCTCAGAAAAATTCATTGTTTCTTTTCCTTCTTTCTCTGTGTCTTGGCTCACCTCCCCTGGTCTCTCCCTACTCTCTTCTAACTTGTAAAGCATTCTCCTCTTACACAACCACATAAAAAGCCCTCTCAGCGTTTGGGAACAAGGCCAAAGGTTATGGTTCAAGTGGCTTCTCCTCATGTATGTGATGTCATTTGAAGAGCTGGTGGGAGAGCACTCCAGCTCTGCAGGGTGATGGAGCCAAGGGCCAGGGCAGCCCCACCATCCTCTGGGCCAGGGCTTCACTTCTCTTGGACAGCTTGTGGTGCCAGGCCATGGGATACAGCGCTGCAGGAAGAAAAGACAAGCAACTGGAGAGGAAGACTGAAGAGATTTGTGGAGGAATGCTGTGTACCTGCAGTGAATTTCAGAGCTGGGATAAGTGCTGTGCAAAAAAAATCTTGTTAAGGTCTGTAGTCTGGCGGTAGGGAGTAGGTTGTTGGGAGCCTGAGCTGATTTTCTGGTGCCAGGGGTGCAAAGGCTTAAACAGGTGCACGCAGATGAAATAACATGGAGGGTTTGGCTGCAGGGGGAGAATAAAACATGGAAGTAGATGTACAAGGGAGAGAAGCTAAGGTAGCTACAGACAAACTAAGTCCCAGAAGGTAGAAAGGTTATTACAAGAGAATGAAAAAAAAAGTTTATTTAAAACATTTTACAGTTGCTGACCTGGATATTCTTAGTCTTTGTAAGTATCTCATCATAATGTGGCTATATTGGTACTCTAAAGCCAGATTTGTAATTTCTGAATTCTGGGCTTAAACAGACTCAAGAATGTATCAATATTGCAAGGCAGGTATGAAAAACATGTCTGGGAAATGAAATCGAGATTCCACTTAAATATGTAAATATTTGTGCTTCTTTTAATGTTACTAAATTCAGATAGGATTCTAAATAGCATCTTAACCTTTCTGAAAAGTTAGCTGGAGAACATATGTCTCAATTAATTAATAAGACTAATATTTGAATAGTTCTTACTATTAGTTTCATTTTTAGATTCACTTGGATTTGAAAGTAGTTATAACTTTGCAACTAAATATAAGTTCATAGTTATTTTTAAGTCTTGACACTTATCTTTATAACATCAAGTGACTTTCTCTGCACATCCATTCTGGATGTGATAAAATTTTTCTGTATTTTCATTGAAAAGGAAAAGTGAATTGCCGTTCTTGGACAGTCAGGTAGGTGGTGATTTGATTGTGAACCTAGCACATTTTTAATTCCTAGTCTGAGTGCCAGAACTAAAATTTCAAACAGTTTCTGTACTTCCAAGAATAGAGTAGAGTTTGTAAAGCAACTCTGAATACTTTTGTAAATACTCCACGAATAATTATCTGAGCTTGTGGGTAAGTAGCGGCATCCTTTTTTTTTTTTTTTTTTAAATGAATGAGCATCTCTAAGTAATTTTAGTTAGGACTGCAAAGTGAAATGTTTGTTCAGTACACCTTTTGCATTTTTGCATCAATGGTTAACAAAAATGCCTACTAACTGTCTCAGGTTTTCTTGTATCTTAAAAACACTTAATGCCCAGAAGGACTCAGGATTGTAACACTGCTGTATACCATGATCCTTCTCTTTGTAGAGTGTGTCAAAGTTGCATTTCCAAAGTAATGTAGAATCAGCTCTCATAGATGGTTAGATATCTGGGAACTAACTTACTAGGCATTTTAAGTATAATCTTTGGCATTATCTGTATTTTAGGCAGCTTAAACTACTGGTAGTTTTCTGACAGCTGCTTTTCAAAGAACTGTAATTTTTAAGTTCACAAGTTTCAGTATTATCAACTCACTAACTCACAGAAGATAAAAGTTCAAACACTAATTAATGAATTTACTGATAATCAACTTGCTCTTCTATCTTTATGGACCTTTTGGGATTAATCTTTACACTATAGCAGTCTTTTGATTGCAGTTTGAAAATTAGGATCATATAACATTTATGCATCTTTGAGTACATTACTCATGACTGATTACTGTAAAAGAAATTGTGAAATGCAGTTTGTCCTGTTAATTGATGAGATCAGAACTATTCAAATATCTTTTCTCCTTACAGGCTTAACTTCATAGGCTCCAATATCAACAGAACAATAGATATCCTTCAAATCTGTGATTTTAGGGAGGAATTCCTTCCAGTACTCTAAGACTAAGGATGTTTGAGTATTTAAAACAAGGGCAGCAGCACAGTCCATGAACGGAAATGAATTTGAAGATCTGTGGGGAGGAAAGGATTAGAAAAGAGGAGAGAGAAAAATGAATTGGATTAGAATTGTTTTAATTCAGAGACCAATTTTGCATCTGGGAGATGTTAGAAAACAGCGTCAGAGAATTCATGTGTTTTTGTTTGCTGTTTGTTGTTAGTTTTTGGTTTTGGTTGTTTTTTGTCTACTAAAGAAGTGAAATTTTCTCACAAGATAACAAAAAATTTTGAAAGATGAAAAACATTCTTCTTATAGGCTTGGGGCCTCTTTATAAGCAGGAAAAGAAGATAAGAAGTGAGGAGATTGTAAAACACAGCCTGGTGAAGGTTTGCAGATGTTCCAGCCCCCCTTTGATATGTAAGGCAGACTCAGGCCTCATTGTGTTTTGCTCCTGCTAATATATGAGCCTAGCAGTCTATGTGTCTCTACTTGTCTTAATTCTCCAGCCAGAAAGATGATGGAATAAATCTACTCTTTGCACGTCAGCTTTGTGTCATGGTCATTTTGGTGTTACCTACATTTATCCAAGGCACACAGGATCTTTCTCTTTTTGACCTAGATAAAATGAGAGACCACATATTCAGACCAGTCAAATGCAGGAGGCATATTTGACTGGACTAGAATCAGGAAAAATTGAATTCCTATCCTCAATTTTTCTTAAGCGTAGCAGTCACTTTTGTCAAATCACCTTTTATACTTCTCTCATCTGTTTTGACTAGACACTTCTAAGCCTGGCTGTCTGCTTCACAATGGCCCTTTTCTTCCTTTTGGGCTTTAAGATACCTCTGTAATACAAAGTGTAGGATGAAATACAAGTATAAATACAGTATATATTAAAGCATACGTCTTTTTTAATCCCAACATTACCAGTTCAAGAAAATTCAACAGCAGGGATATAAACCTTTTCCCAATGTTTAGTTGAATCATATTGATTCCCTCACTCACATTATTTAAGATTTTCTCTCATTACTGTACAATCTCATCTGGCTGTTTAAAATATTTTATTCCCAAATTAATTAGTTTTTCATTTGCCTTTTTTAATCAGCAAATGTCCTCTCATGGCCCAATTACTTAATAAATCAAAATTGTATATTACATTATTTTGCTCTTTTAATTTTAGTACCATCTGCTGATTTTGAATTCTTATTTCCAGTACCCTCATCCAAATAATTTATGCAGAATGCTATGAATAGCAACAAAACAAAACCTGATGATTCTTTGATACTCCAATGCACTATCCATTTCCAGGCTAAAGGCTCAACTGAAGACTCTCTCCCTGGATTTTTCCCTCGGTTCACAGAGGAGTATCAGGGCAGGAAGCTCACAAGTCCAACATTTTTAAAACAGTCAGTGATGGAAAAAACATGTCAGTTAATGTTTATGAAGCAAATTCCACTGTTAGGAATGTGATATCTACATAACTAATAAAATAATTGGAGAGAAGCAAGAAACTGACACTGAGAGGATTTCTTTTAAATACAGGAATACAACTACAGTTCAAAGTAGCTAACAGATGCGAAGAATAGTTAAATGCAGCACTACAGTAGCAGTACTAAAGCAATTTATTACATCAGTTTAACATGCAAGTAAAAGGTAAATCCTCATTTCCCTGCAGTGTTTCAGCAAACAGAGTGAAAACTGATGACTTGAAAGGTGAAGCAGAACTGTTTTGTCAGTACAATATATGGAGAGGTTGAAGTCTTTGTAACAGTGTCTACATAGTGATTTATCTACTAACTTCTGTGTCTTTTCCCACTTCCATTTCTTAGACAACTTATCTGGGTTGATTTTATTGAAACAATCTATTAAAACAATTCTAGAGGCAGAGGTAGTCATAAATCCCAGTTTTCTGATTCTTATATAAGTTACTTGGCACAGTAAGGCTATGGTAAGTGAAATACTACTGGTTTCTGCCCATTAAGTCTCTGTCCAGTAGCAGCACTTTGACTGACTTAAGCCTGGAACATTCCCATGTAACCTGCACCACCATGCCATCAAAAACTGTCATCTTTATCAAATTTCTCTGTATAAGAAGCTAGAAGTGTTTTCTTCAGACCCATTGCTCCACTGCTAGCATCAGGAGGAAGCCTGGCATCCTACTTTCTATATAGTCTCTATTTTAAGAAAGGCTGAGAGCTGTTTCAGCAGTGTTATGAGACCAGTGTCCAGAGCTGATTTAAGGTAAAGAAATAGAAGCAAACATGCAAAACCATCCATATCCTTCTGGAAACAGTAAAGAGTCCAAAAAATTAAAATTGCACGTGATGGGGAGCGCTTTTTTAATAAAGTATGAAAATTGGTAGGTCTGCTAAATCTACCTCAATACTGAGAATTTCTTCTTATCCCACTGCCTCAACAGGCCAGCTCCCCAGGAATGATTGCATCATTGTAACATTGCTCTGGTCTTAAGCTAGTGCTGGCCAGTACAAAAAGCTTGCTGCAGGAACTAGATCCCTGAAACTTCATTTTAACATTGCTGACTTCTGTTGTGATAAGTCATTAAATATCAATTATCAATGTTCCTTCCTTTTTACAGTGAAATTCGAAATCTTAGAAACTTGGATTACATAGATGCAGATGCCTTTATGAACCTCCCACTTTTGAAATACCTGTAAGTATTTAGTACCTGTAACAAACTGATATTTAAATCTCACAGATGACTCTTTACATTATAGCAGTTTTGTTAGTTTGCAATTGATTTTGGAACTGATTGATGTGTTCTTCCCTGTTGCTTTATTCTAATGACAGAAAGCCAGCAATGGTAGGGGTTGGAACTCTTACTACTTTTGTGAGAAAGGAAAACATGTTCACAAATTCATCAGTAGTTTTCCCATTTCTCTCATCCATTAAATATCTAGAATACACTAATATTTCTTGGCAAAATTCCACAGCTAGTTCTTTTCTTATGGTAAGTGCTGTCTTACTCTGTTTTTGTAGGAAATAGTGGGAAGAAGGGACACAACAGATATACACATATCTTTAGTATTTACTAGACAATTACAGACAGGTTTAAATCATACCTGTTAGCAAAATGTGAAAAGCTCATAGACGCCTGATTTCATATGACTTCTATGGCAGAAAGAAATCATGAAAATTTCCCATGATTTTCCAAGGAAACTTCTGTGATTTTTAGTAATATTTAAAAGAAAGGCCTCTGTGTGTGTGTGTGGTGGGGGCAGTGTCAAGGAGGAAAGATTTGTCCAGGTTTTTCCTATAGATGTGAAAGCAATAAAAAAGAAAGTAGTAAAAAATTTCATTTCAGGAGAATAGTTTTAAAAAATGAGAACTACAATTATTTTCACTCTACAGGAGTTCATAAAGAAGGGGCTTTAAGCATTTCACATTTTAAGACAGTTTCCTTTTTTAAAGCTATATGAACAGCTCTTAGTCTCAGTGGAAGACAGAGGCTTCGGGGATCCAGACTATTAACTGAAGCAGCCTTAATTTCTCAAGTTAAAATAAACCAGAGTTTTAATTATTTTCTTCCTATCAACCTCACAAGATGCTTCCCTCTGCAGATCTCCCTGACTGTCTTATCAGTCTGTGTTCTCATTTTTTAGATTCTGTAATTTATTGTTAGTCTGGTATTTTGAATTTTTTATATTGTTTTTGCATCCTTCTGTTTTGGACACTTGATTATAAATGAATTGACTGAAATAGAGAGGATGCAATAACCATCCTGCCCTGTTGAACCTTAAATACATTGTTTGTTGTTGTTCAGTGATGCAGTAAATCTTTCTGTTTCTACTCTCTTGCAGTGGTATTTTTAACACTGGACTCAAAGTATTTCCAGCCCTTAACAAAATCTATTCATTTGATGTGAATTTTTTGCTGTAAGTATCTCTCCTCACAGCTGGTTAGAATATTGCCATCCTCAGACCACATGAAAATGTATAATGAAGGCTTCTGGTTTTGAGAAAAATATCATTTAAGTCTGACAAAGCAGTTTTCCTTAAGCAATATTTCAATGATCATTAGCACCAAATTTGGAAAATGCCACATCACCTAGCACTATACTTTTGACATGAATTAGAGACATGGACACACAGCACATTCATGATACACAACTTCTACAGGCCCTTTGTTTTAATTTTATTCTTAGTTTTGCAATGTCTCTGCAATCCCTGAATTAACATGAAGTCAGAATAGTGTGACACACAGGACCTGAGCTGGCATACATTTTGCTAACATCAAGTCACCTATCAAAATTCTAACAAATTTGTGCTGGGATGGTGAAGCAAACTGCAGAATAATTTCTTGAAGAAAGAGAATGGGAATGTTAATGGAGACAAGGAGGTCTCACACTATTATCCTTAAAGGTATTTCAGAAACAAAGAGTTCTGCTTTGAGCTCTAAAATAAGCAGGAATTTCTTGGTATTTTAGAAGCACAGACAACATTCACCTGTGTTAATCTAAGTTAGAATTTTGTATTGTAATCAGGCTGAGGAGGAGGAGGAGTAACTCAGATGAAGACTTGCAGGCTGAGACAAGGCCACTTCTTGGTCCCAGAGAGGAGTTAGAAATCTTATATTGTAGCAGTTTTCAGTTGGAAGAGGCTTGAATGCTGGATGGGCTATGCAAAAGGCAATTAAAAATGAGAAGTGTTATGTTAGAAGGTGATTTGCAAAGATGTGATAGATGATCTACTGCAGGAGTTGTTTCAGTGCTGTGTTTTTGGTCAGGAAGGGTCCATTCCCACTGCATTCATGGTCTGCCACTGGCAAGATGAACCTCAGAGCAATAGAGAAATGCTGCTTGTTCTGCTAAGAAGTGTAGACCTGAAGCAATGAGATCTTCCAGGGATCTTCTGAGATCAGAGATAAGCTTTGTTCTAACGCACATTCACACCTTGGCCCTAGAACCCCAATATTGAAACCTGAGTCAGTCAGAGCTCTGAGTGAGATGTAACTACATCTTAAAAGCTATTAGGGAGTTTCTCAAAAGACCAGAAGGGCTTCAGCTTAGATTGAAAACTCTGTTAGATCTACTTGTACATACTAGAGAGGACCAGGAATTGAACAGGCCAGACGAAACAAAGCAGTTTATACAGCCATCTGTGTTTTCACATCCAACTAACTCAGTGCCTTTCTAAGTGGCAGAAAGCCAAACATTGTTTTACTTCTGCCTTGATTTTTTTTTTTTGATAGTGATAAATAACAAAAAATAAATCTAGGTTTTATATGCTGCACAGAGTTTTTAAAGAATAGACCTGTACTTTCAAGGAAGATAGTTCTATGATATATATTTCTAAATATTGCTATTTAGTGAAAGACTTTATGTTTCTTCCATCAAGAAAAAAATGCTCTTGAAAAATAATAGGTTTCTAAATATTGAATAAGGTATAGCTGGGAGAAATGCATTCATTATATCACTATTTGCCTTTGAGGTCAAGCAACTTAAAAGTAAACATTTACTCAGAAAAAATGAACCAATCTGCAAAATGTCAAACCCAAATAACTTGTGGTGGAAACCACCTATCAGTGAAAATTACTTGGAATGAAAATGGTTATAGTACTGCTCAGTGTTAGCACATATATATACACAAATGGAGCACAGAAAAGGAATGAAGTTATTTCTGGCACCTGGGTAATTGTTAGGACTTCACAGCCCATGGACTTTATGTGTGGGCCTTATTAGGCCATACCTAATCCACAAGCTGAAGAAAAAGAAAACTTTGCACAATATTTTCATTTCTGGACTATAATGTTATTCAGGAAAAATCAGAAAAAGGGCAGTCAAAGACTTTGCTCTGCCCTTTGCTTCTCCCAGCTTTTTCCTCTCTCCTTTCTCCAGTTTAGTAATAGTAAATCTCTTTAGTTTTCCTTTCTCCCTTTTGTTACAAGAGAATTTTGGTCTGAAGATACATTGTACTTACTAAGACTGCAGAGTAGGAGTAAAAGTAAGTATTTAAGAAATGAGTAGTGAAATACTCCTTTGGACAAGAGGTGGGAAGAATCAGGAAGTTATTTCACTTACTAGTGAAAGAGATGCGCCAGATGCACTTCTGTAAAGTAAAATGCCTCTGTCCTGAATAAGGTATTATCTCATATCTGAATTTAGAGAGCAGAATTTCAGCTCTAAAGCCACTTGGGTTGTTCAACTGACACCACAGCTAATGCTAATTCACTCTGCTAGTTCTCTGGTTCTTGAGACCAGGGACCTGTCTGTGCCATTAGCCACTATAATCACACAGGCTGGCACACCTCACCAGAGCTACAAAACCCATTTACCTCACCAGCTGTCTTCCTGGATGCTGGAATATGCTCAATTCTTCCGCCTACATGTATCTTCTGGCCTTAGATACAACTAAATGGGTTATTATTTTAAAGTTATTTATTCAAATAAATAAATTAAAATTTATAATACAATAAATATGGCAATGTTATTTATTTTATAATCTATTAATATTAAAATACACTAAAATTAATTTATTTAAATAATTATGTTTTAAACTTCTATTTGTTATCAAGGCAGAGAACAATTAATAACAAAGCTGTTCTCCAGATGCTCTGTTGGGCAGATGTTTGATTGTGATATTTTGTCTCTTTTTTCAGTGAAATTGCAGATAATCCTTATATGACTTCAGTGCCTGCAAATGCTTTCCACGGGCTTTGTAATGAATCTCTCACCCTGTAAGTTCTTCCAGTTTAAGTCACAAGGAAATTACCTCTCTGGTAATGCATATAGCAAAATATTTAAAAATAAAATGATTCCTGTCTTACTCTCTAGTAGTTTGCAATGGAGAAAGACCACAGACAGAATGTATATTCTAGTTTGCATAAATTTTGTACTTTGACAGCTATTTCAATCAGTCCTGCTCTTTTCTTTAAGCTGGCTTGACTAAAGTGGTTTTGTTCTTCTATGACCCTAGTGCCAGAGAATGGTTATATTTGAAAAAAAAAATCAAAGGAGAAAGTCTGCAAAGCTCTCCCCCTGTAAAGCTACAGCAGGGTTATAACTGGGTCTAACTTTTTTTGCAACCTGAGTGGTACATACCATGGAAACTAATGGATGGCAAACATCAGAAGAGTTATATTTGAAAGAAAATTGTTAAATAAAGTTCAGTTATGCAAGTCAGTCAATGTGAGCCACAAAAAAGTAGGCTGATGGGAGTGAAATTACTGTAATGAATTATGACCTGAACTGGGAGGAAGAGCATTAGAATGCGAACAGATGAATTCTAAAGAAATTCTAGAAAAAAGTTATTTTGCTCTAAGGGAGTAAAAAATTTAATTCTAAAAATGTAAGGCATGACTGATAGTAGAATCAGACCTTTTTAGCTAGTTGTTAGTTCCTTTAGCCTTCCTTAATCAGTCCCAGCAGAATTTTGTTTCCTTGCTTTTATTTAAGTGTGGGAAAATTATAGCAAAGTGGTTTAGTCTATCATTGCTGTAAGAAGAGGTAGAAGACTGCACACCTGTCACGTGGTATCCTCGATGAGTGCACTCAAGAACACTTCTGGCATTTGTTTGACCTTGCACAGTAACTACTGCTTCTTCCAGAGATTAAAATTAACCCAACCATAAATGTGCTGTTGCAAAGAAAAATGATGCATAAGATGTTAGGAATTCATGTATTGAAGCAGCCCAAAATACACTGATGTAATTTCTTTTTCGCTTGCAGTAAACTCTACAATAATGGTTTTACCCATATTCAAGGCCATGCTTTTAATGGGACAAATCTGGATGCTATGTAAGTAGCAGGTAATTCTCTTCTTTCAGAAGAAAAAACCCAAGCTTTTCTGTTTACTTGAGTTCTGAAAAACGTATCTTATTTTAATTACTTTTGAGGAGCAAAGAGAGGATATTAATTTCAGTCAGCAATAACAATATAATTGCTTAATGTCTTTTGCAGTGTGCTTTCATTTAGTATGTATATTTATAGTTCAGAAATAAAATCATGGCCAGTAATTCCACCGTGAGTTTTGTTCTGGTTTGAAGCTACAGTAAAACTTTTCTAAGACAATTTGGAAGATAATTATGCTTTTCTTTTTAACCAGAATGTTTATTTTAGTAAGTATAGCACTGATAATGGTAGCAGTTCTTTTGCAGGTATCTCTTGCAAAAAAGAGAGTGGTGTAAGATGCTGGGAGCAACTCAGAGGAACCAGACACTTACACTGGAAATGAGATGCAAATCTCAAAAGCATGAATCAACCATTTCATATTTCCCTGCAACTTCATGCTGTATTTTCTGAAAAAAATAATTAGTGAGTGAATATTGTTTTTGCATCATACCCAAAACCATCTGCCTCAATCATTAAGAGAGAATAAATCTCAATTCTAGAGACTCCATTCACATTGGCAAAGCTTACTCTTGTCCTACAGAGGCTTGACCAAAGAGTCTGTCACTCTCACAAGTAAAGAGATTTCTTCATCGTGGGCTCTTAAATTAACCAGAGAGACATGAAGATAGATATGATTATTTTTAGTACTTTATTTTAAATTAGGCTTAAATTCTATAAAAATTCTATAAGAGCATCCTTCACATGGTCTTAATCTTTCCAAACTGCCTATTTTATCTTAGCAGCTAGCTAGATGTCTTAAAGTCTGAAAGGTCTGAGTTAAACCAAAGATCTGGAATAGATCTGATTTCATTCACACTAGTTCAGTTACTTTGAACTTTCACATGAAAAAGGAAGTCTTCCAGGGTGACACAGTATTTGTACTAGTGCCCACAGAAATCACAAGATATAAAATATGGCAAAATAAAGCCAGTGTCTTGACTGAATCCCTCAAAGTGGCATGCAGCAATACCCAGAAACTTTCCAAGCCTTATCCAATATATGAACTGTGTTGGCTCTTTCATTTTTTACATTATGACAAAACACAGGTTGGATACTATTTTGGAGCAATTTTTAAAAAATGTTTCTCTCATATGCAGGTATGCAGTATGCAGGTGCTATTACTTCTGTCATCTTTGGAATGCTCATTATTATTAAAGAATCAAATGAAAACCTAGTTTTAGAAGACCTGGATTCCTAAACATCTGCTTTATCGGACGGGGAAGTAGAGAAGCAGACAGCACTAGCACTAGCACTAGCACTAGCACTAGCACTAGCACTAGCACTAGCAGATGCTAGTCTCTGTAAATACTGTTTGCATATTTTTAGAAAATAAAAAATTGTAATTAGTATCCTTTAGAGATATGTAAGTATTTTTTAAGGCCAAGAGTAGAGGGCTTTACAGAGAGACCTGGACAGACTTGAGAGCCAGGCAATCACCATCTATATTAAATTTAACAAGAACAATTGCTGGATTCTCCATCTGGCATGGTGTAATCCTGGTTATACATACAAAGTGGGAGGCTGCAGAACAGCCCCACAGAAGTGGATCTTGGTGTCCTGGTTGATGGCAAGTTGAGCACACCCTGGCAGCCAGGAGTGCCAGCCGTGTCCTGGGGTGCATCAGCCACCGCATGGCCAGCTGGGCAATGGAGGGGATCATCCTGCTCTGCACTGGGGCAGCCTCACCTCGATTGCTGGGGGCAGTTTTGGCTGTCACAATATGAGCAGGATATCAAACCCTTAAGTGTGTCCAAAGGAGAGCAGTCTAGATGGTGAAAGGCCTTGAGGGCAAGACCTATGGCTTGGTGGCTGCAGTCTTGCTTGTGGCTGTGGTAACTTGGCTTGTTCAGCCTGGAGAAGGGGAGCATGAGGGGGTGATCTTGTGGCAGCCCACAGCTTCCTCAAGGGGGGCAGTGGAGTGGCACGTGCTGATCTCTCTCTGGTGACCAGCAGTAGGAGATAAGAGAGCAGAAGGAACCTGCATCACGGAAAGTTCAGTTGGACATTAGATGAAGGTCCTTCACCAAGAGGGTGGTCAGTCATGGAACAGGCTCCCCAGGGGAATGGCCACAGCACCAATACTGTCAGAGTTCAAACTGTGTCTGGATGATGGTCATAGTCATGATTTTTTTTTTGTCATCCTACAAGGGCTAGAGAGTTAGACCCCGTGAGGCTTATGGGTCCCTTCCAACTTATGTTCTGTGATTTATGATCCTAAGTGAATCCTACCAGAGACTGGCTATGATGCACTAGTCAATGAAATTTAAAAAGAAAAAACAAACAACAACCAACCAACACAATAACTAAAACTAGATTTATGTTCATGGGTTTATCTACCAGCAGTAAAAATGGTTTATTACAACAAACACTTTTCTCCTAATTAAATCATATGACATTTACGTGGAGGAGAGCACTACTCTAGATGTACAAGGCAAACTAAGGAGCTGAACATGAGTGGTAAAGCCTTTATCTGTTTGATAAACTACACTGAAATATCTAAACTAATTTTCTGAAGTAGTTTGGTTACCATATGACAGGATAAAGTATAATTTTGCTAAGTGCAAGCTTGGAGATTTGCTGTTTCTAGCAGTAGCATTAAGTTAATGTAAGAGGCAAGTATTTCATTTTCTCTATTCTGACATTTCTAATTTGAACTCCTGTTTATCTGCCACTGTATAGTCAAGGAAGTACCTGTTTTTCTCTGGGTCTGATTGAAGAGCATTTGAATTTAACAAAAAGAGAAGCAAAAATAAACTAACAGAAAAAAGGTGAGGGAAATTTGAATGTGTTTTGAATGATTATCTCAAGGACAAAAATAAGTAACTAAGCAAAACAATCAAAAACAATAATAAATTTTTGGCAAATTATTCAAAGACTTCATGTTCCATCCATGTATCAGAAAACATTTTGGGAATCTTGGGGGCTTTCTTCTACTATGCATTATGCCTTTCTACCACTCTTGCAGTATTAAAATGCCTACGTAATCAAAGGGGGCCAAAAAAATTAATGCAGGTATAGGTGAAAAACCATGGATAAAGGGTTTCCATTATCATACTGAATAATAGCACTACTTAGTTGATCTTGTAAACCAACAAGGATCGGTGTTTAACAGCAAACCACGGTATTGCTGTGTAAGTTTCATAACAGCAGGGAAGTAAGGAACCAGGAACTAAGGGCTGAATGACACTTTTACTGAAAAGCATGCATCTGACACTTGAATCCCTCATCTTAACCCATCATTAAAGTCCATAAACTGCAAAGTAGTGCTGCTGCACCAGTGTTTATTTCTGTAAGGTAACTGGTGAGGAAAGAAGAGTTTTTTAAAAGGTATTTTCAGTGAATGGCAAAATATATTTCTGATGAGCTTTCACAGAACTATCCAAATTACTGAAGTGGAAAGTGTGTGATCTCAAAATCTAATTACAAAAATAAACTCCAAAAGAATGTATTTACTTTAGTATACACTTTCAGGGTTCACTTATAATGCCTGGCATAGCTCAGAGTTAAGATAAACAATTGTGTGGAAAAATTGTTATGATGAATCTTTAGTACTGCTCACTTACCAATGCATCTTTTTGGCCTGTTCTCCCTTTCTTTAACCTTCATTTCATAATCCAGCTGGATGCATATGTTTTACATAGCACTTGAAATGTCCTGTTAGTGTTTCGTGCCCTCAGAAGGTCCTACTCGGAATCCTGCAGTCATGGTGTTTTCTGGTGCAGTTGAGGCTTAATGCAATATTCTTCCCACTTATCCTGGACCCTGACTCCGTAGAGACTGTTAGACACAAGTACAAGTGATTTACTGCTCTGATTGGATTGAAAAACATGAATAAAAGGGCCTTCATTTACTTACAGCACTACAAAAACATCAACATCTCCTACTCCAGAGTCCATACTTATACTACTACAGATTTCCTGCAGTTTGCACTGTGGTATTCATGTATATCTGATTTCCATTCACCAAATCTCCAAAATTACGATTATTCCAGTGTCCCCACTGAGGCTAGATATTATACATCAACTATGTGATTTCTAAAATTTCTAATATTTGTTTAGACATGTTGATACCACTGTTGTGGTTTTCTCTTCTGCAGGGAATTTAAATGACATTCTGTGTCATTTAGCTATCAGTAACAACAGGATTAATGGCTCTTTCAGAAGGAACTGACTCTATATAAGCTTTCTTTGTCAAATTAGTTTTACCAAAGCCTTATTCCTTCCATTTAAAAGCAGTACCTATGAAAATAAAAGGGCTTAAACAACTGAAACCAATTAACATCAGGAAATTGTACATTCTGATGGGTCTGACTCACTGATGTGAAATCTGGCAGCTAACACCGCAGCCCCTCCTTAGTAACACATGGTTCTGTACTTCCCAAAGCCTTTAGCTGTTTCTATTTGTAACTTTGAAGATTTTTTTTATCAGGCATATCAGCTATTATATTTCAGGTTTATTAGTCACTCAAATATTAGGGGAAAATATTTCAAAATTGGACAAGCAATTAACTGGTTGTATAATAGTGTCTAGTTACTAAAGCAGACAGGTTTTATTAGCTTAAGCAGGTTTTTGTGTCCTTCAGCACTACAACCTAGATGTTGAAATCTTGGATTAATTCTTAACAGTTGCTCTGGTTTTAATTTTTGTATTCATTTTGCAGAAAAAATCATTAGGAAATTTGCACACAAAAGGAAATGTTCACAACAATAGTGTGTCATTTACAGGACATGAAAATCAGTTATCAGAAAACACAAACATCAGGTGATGCTAGATGCCACATATTTATAAAGAATTAAAGCTTATTTCAAACAACAACAGCTGAGAAGGTGATGTAAACTATTTTCCTCTGTAAGAAACAAGGCTTAAGGCATGAGTAATGTCCAATGAATAACATGCCAGAAGTATTATTTGGCTCCCTAAGACTTTCTGTTGTGCAACCCAGATAGTGCATGTACTTCTCATTTCTCACTATGGTGATCAATATAAGCTTATAGCTAGTCAATGTTATGAAAAATTTGCCAATGACTTCAACCAGGACAGGATTAGAATCTTTACTTAATTTTTTCCGCACTGTGGCTCGCCAGCTGGGCAAGGGAAGGGATTGTCCTGCTCTGCACTGGTGTGGCCTCACTGTGAAGCAGTTTTGGTCACAATATAAGCTATTAAACTTATTAGAGAATGTCTAAAAGAGGGCTGGATGTTGAAGGGCCTTGAGGGGATGTATGAGGAGCAGCTGAGGTCACTTGGGTCTGTTCAGCTTGGAGGAGACTGACGAGAGATCCATTGCAGGTACAACTTCCTCCTGAGGGAAAGACACCAATCTCTTCTCTGTGGTACCCAGTGACAGGACCTGAGGGAATGGCCTGAAGTTGTGTCAGGGGAGGTTTAGGTTGGATATTAGAAAGATGTTCTTTACCCAGAGGGTAGTTTGGCACTGGAACAGGCACCCCAGGGAACTTGTCACAGCACCAAGCCTGACAGAGTTCCAGAAATGTTTAGATGGCACTCTCAGGCACATGGTGTGACTCTTGGGGCTGTTCTTTGCAGGGCCAGGAGTTGGATTTTGATGATCCTTGTGGGTCCCTTCCAACTCAGAACATTCTGTGACTCTGTGATCTTCAAAGCCACCCTCTGACATCTGTTGTGACCACCTTCCTATTGCACTTTTTATCATCCTAGCTGTATCACAAGCTAGCTTGTAAATGTTTATAATGGGGTACCAAACATCCTATTCTTTCCTTGCTCTTCTTACAACAAAACTTTAATCTTAACTTTTGGCCTATATATAGAAACCTCCACTTGACTATGGAGATCTTAAAGCATTTAAACATTTTACTGAACTCACAACATAGAGGAAATTTTTTTCCTGTTTGTTCATGATGTGTTCCATCATGTAATTCCCCATACTCCATTCTGATGAAAGAGAACAAAACTATTTCACCTCATCCTCACACATATGTACTAGAAGATACAGTGTGTATGCATGTGCCCTTTTACTACGTATGACAGTGAGAAAAAAAATTTGGAACAAAGATAATAAATAAATTAGCAAAATAAAGTATTTGTTGAGGAATTTAATTGCTTTTCAAAAAACAACAACAAAAAAACCAAACCTGTATTTTGTTTCTTGGGTACACAGAAAATGAAGTAACTGATTATGCTTCAATATGTGGTTGAGAATGGATGGCCTTTATACATATTGCTTTTGTACATCTGTGTAGGCAATTAAACTCCAGATCTTTGATAACCTATGGAAAACTACTTCCAAATCACTGTATTTTGTTTGTTTCTGCAGCTATCTGCACAAGAACAAATACCTCAAAGTCATCAATGATGATGCATTTCTAGGAGTGCACAGTGGACCAACTCTGCTGTAAGTAGTTGAAAATCAAGTAAAGAAAGCTTTAAAAAGAATACTGTTTTAGTTTACAAATTCTTTACTACAAAAAAAGACTCTTGTACCACACATGTAAAGGATATTAAAAGAGAGGAAAAAATAATTTTAGACAGAAAAATAGTTACCTCTGATGCTCTTTTTTCTCATGTTATTCGGCTTCCAGTCTGATTCTACAATCCTCCAAAGAACTTTTCACTAAAATTAGGAATCATAATACAGAATGAAAATAAAACTTTAAAGAAGAACTTCCGGAAGAATCATATTCCCAGACTCAAATTGTCTAGTGTGTAATGTTGTGCCCATGACAGATCACAAGGAGAACTGAAAAGGGGAATTTCTTCCTCCATTGCAAAACCAGATGATGCCAGCAGGGTTTAGTCCGTGTAAGAACAAGTTTTACTTTCTGCTCTTCAGGAAAACAGCTTATTCATAGCAGAATAACTGTATTTTTCTTGGAAGGAATCCTAGCAGCTACCTGCAATAACAAAAGGTGCAGAAGTCATTATTTTTCTTTCAGAATCTTTTCAACTCCAGAAAATCAGTCTGGCTCCAGCAGGTGAGAGCTTGCATAATCAGATTGTTGGCACTTTTTTATTGTGGGTATTTAAAGCATCAGTGTTGTTGTTATGCTGGACAGGTGGATAACTCATATGCTGCAAAAGGTTGTGGGTGGTTAATTGTACGCTGTAAGAGCCAGGTAAGCTTCCTGTGCAAAGCCTAGCTTGGAGACGTGTCAGCTACACAAAACCTCTTGGTTTAGGAGCTAGAGATGCTTTCCTAGGATGCGAATATCTAACTGTACAGAACTTCCTTTTTACCCTATTTTCAAGTTAGATATCTCAAATTACTTGAATTTCTTCTAGTCTTCCATAACTATTGTGCTATCCCAGCTACTCCCATTGATCCTTGATCTCAGGACATGTTTTATACTTGCAGACTAAACAGCCAGCTATCTATCTCCTCTTAGAATGATACACCTTCATGGCTCATAAGAGTCCTAGCAGTTCTGCTAACTAAAGGGAGATGTGGTGCTTACTATAGTGTCATTAAAAACAGAGGTATTGCTTCTGAAAGGCAGAAGGCCAGGACTGACATGTAAGCACAGTAAATCAACAGTGGATTAAAAAAAGCCAGAGTAATTCATATCATGATACTTTGATATGCAAGTCCTAAGATAAAGATCCTAGGATGGTGTCACTGTTTAACACTGGCGTGCACCTCAGCTCCACACAGCTGAGTACTTGCCCCTGCACCCAATGGGATGAAAGAAAGAATTGAAAGGGTAAAATGAGAAAAATCATGGGTTGAGATGATGTCGGCTTAATAATTAATAAAAGGATGCTGAAAAAAAAAAAAAACAAACACAGAGGGGGAGGAAAAAAAAACTAAACCCAAGAACAACAAGTGATGTAACAAAAATTTGCCCACCACCAGCCCATTGATTCTCAGCCAGTCCCATGGCAATGGCAGTCCTGGCAAACATCCACCCAGTCTTTACTGCTGAGCATGATTTGATAAGGTCTAGAATATCTCTTAGTCAGCTGGAGTCAGCTGTCCTGGCTATCCTCTCCCAAATTCTTGTGCACCCTTAACCTCCTTGCTGGTCAGATGGTGGGAGAAACAAAAAATGCCGTGTACGTGTGCAAGTACTGCCCAGGGATAGCTAAAACATCCCTGTATTATCAACACTACTTTCACTCCCAAATTGAAAGCATGGCTCCCTTCTCGTTACTGTGAAAAAATTTAATTCTATACCAACCAAAACCAGTACAGAATTAACAATTCAAGTTATTAGCTTTTAATTTTATTTTAATGTAATTTTAATAGTGGCTTAGGGGCTTGTGTTACCCACAGATAAGCAGGAATTATTCCGCATGTATGATGTAGAAAAGGTTTGCCAGAAGATGAGCAACAATTTAAAGCGGAATCCTTCCATCTAGACAGATCTCTTAACTCACCTTCAGGAACTAGAATTATTTTAACAGGAACAAAAGAGTTTCTGAAACTCCCACATATTCATTACCTTAAGAGGGCTGAAGTAAAAAAATGAAAACTGAGTGAAAAACCAAGTACTTGCGGTTGTGTCGTGTCAATGACCATTAACATCTCCCGCAGGAGACAGAAATGTCCTTGCACTTGGTGCCTTAGTATACACCCCCACTATACTATTATGACCAATGAGTGATTTACAGAGAGACTGCAGATTTGTTAACTCGTGTAACACTCTGAGAAGTCTGACCAATACAGCCCTTCCATATTCCCTTGGGCAGGGTAAACAACTTAGCTTGTTATAAGGAATAGTTTGTTAAGTCATTTGCACCTTGGTGTTGTTAGCTGACCATTCGACCTTCCTCAAAATAAAATGTTACTTCCAAACTGTTTCATCTTGAAAATTAACTCCATGGAAAATGATTGTGAGAATACTCTTTTTGTCTAGGACAATGAATGACATTGCTTATAGTGGCAGCAGTATGTACAAAAAAACAAAACAACAACAAAAAAATAAATTTATGGAACTCTAAATTAGAGAAATTCTGTCTTGTCTCCCTACCAAGCTGGCAGAACTTATTGTCTGGAGTTCCCCATGTGCACTCTTCAAGTGAGATGGGAATTCATGGTAGTCAGAACATGTGCCCCACAGAGAGTGATTTTTTTTCTGATCAAGATCGTAACAGCAACCTAAAGGCTGAAATACAGACCATGGATCCACCCTAATGGGGTAACGCTCCATTTTGGCTTTAAAGAAACACAATGAGAAAGATTTAACTACAAAGAATTGTGCCTGACTATATGTATGTTGTATGAGTTTGGCCATGCTCTCAGACCACCTAATTAAACATACTTAAGTAAGAATTGAAAAGCAAGGTAATTTTTTATTTTTTTCAAACTTGCAGTTTACAACAGTGGGTAAAGCAGGGATTGTGATCACTGAATAGAGGAAAACAGATGTCAGCAATTTTGGTTCCTTTGTTACTGTTGTGTACTCAGATGTATGTGGATGTATACACAGATTGCTCCCTTTATAAAACTAATAGTATGATGACAGTACATTGCACTTCACCTCAAAATGAAACCTTGGCAAGGATTCAGCAACTCGGTGGACCTGATTTACTAAATGCGACAAGAGCTGCTGCCCAGAGCAAAAGTTCAAGAGAGTACAACAAAAATGCAATCAGGATCATTATTCAATTAGCTTTTATAAAGCACACAATCCAAATTCAAAATGTTACAATCACACAAGATACATGTGAGTAGTTAATTATCTGTAGAATGCAGAATTGCTCTTTAAAGCATCATTTCCCAATCTAGGAATGGTTTCTCCCACAGGACAAAAGCAAGTTTTTGAGCAAGAGGAACGCTCTATATTTTGCTAATCAAACAATGATAATTTTTAGATTTAAAAAATCTTTTAGTAGAGTTAAAATAGTATCTGCAGTTTAAGCCCATCTGTCACATATTTTATGCTTTACTTGTTCCAGTACTCAGAAATTTATATATATTAGGTAAAAATTTCCAGTTGTACTATGACACATTCAATCTCATTTTCTTAATTACCTGTCTTTTGAATTATTGCTATTACTGGGTTTCATACTACAATTGCATGTTTCCAGCAATGAAAAGGATTATTGACAAAAGCTTTTATCACTTAGATCTAGTTCTGAAATACTGACTTCATAAAACCAACAAAGAATTAGACTGAAATACAATAACCCAGGAAAAAAGAAAAAAAAAAAGCTCTGAGCAACTGAATAACACTTCTGTAATATACAGTTGGTTCAGAAAACATCTCTGAATTCATGAAATATGTTTTATTCCCACATTTATCTGAACCTCTTCAATGTCTCTTTAATATTCAATATAATGTGTAAATTTTAGCTGAGCTAAGCAACAGCCCAGAAACATCACCTAAGATTTGTAAGAAAATATGTGAGGACCAAACAAAACCGCTACCAAGCCAAAATGTTGAGATTGGTTGAGATCACTTTGGTTGCTGCTCTGCCTGACAGTGTAGAACTCTGCGCAACACTTCCAGTACCTGAGTGGGCTCTAGACCATGGCTACTTAAAAGCTGAAATCTGGTCTGGCTCTAGGCTAGCTATGACTGTTGCTAGCCTTTTCCAAAATCCTGAGCATTTGACACCTTCCAAAAGAGTGTCTCTGTCTGGTTTCTCTCTCAGCCTTGTGGGCATTTGTCAAAGGCCTTGAAGTCCCAGGAGACTGAGCAGATTATAAGCACAACACTCAGAGAAGTTTGCGAGGCAGGACTTTTTTTACAAAAGCCCCATACATGCTGACTTTCCCCAGGTATATCATCGAACAAGGTATATATCGAACAAGCCCCAGGTGGCTTGTTCGCTGCCTTTCTTCAGGAGAGCAAAGCTGAAGGTTCCATGACTCTTTTTATCAATTCAATTACTTCCTCCTTCAGCTGTTTCAGAACTTTTCTGGTGAAAACCACCCAGTCCTTGTGACTTGCTATCATTCATTTTATCAGTTTCCTGCCTAGCTTCTTTTATAGTCACTTCAGTTTAAGACAGATCCTCTTGACAAATCTGTCTCTTGCTCATTCTCTTGTGTTTCCTTAAGGGTACAAGCTATAGCTTAGTAGTGTGAGCTAGATACTCTTCTGTGCAATTTAAGCACTGCTGTGTTTAAACATCATCTCAGTTATCAATATTAGATGTGAATGAGACAGACATAACTTCAGTCACTTCCCATTTTTCTCAGCAGACCAAAATCAGGACAGATCATCCTTGACTGATCGGGACTGACCATACTTGGCTCATCAGGGCTTGGTAAGAAGCAAGAAGACAAGAGGAAATTGCCTTCAGTTGTGCCAGGGGAGGTTTAGATTGGATATTAGGGGGAAAAAATTCACAGAAAGGCTTGCAAAGCATTAGAAACAGGATGCTCAGTAAAGTCATGGAGTCATGGTCCCTGAAAGTATTAAAAAAAAAAAGTGTTGTTATGGCACTTGCGGACACAGTGAACATGGTGGGTGCTAGACTGATGATCTTAAAGGTTTTTTCCAACCTTAATGATTCTATGATTCTATACTTTGGCACACAAAGAAATCATTCAGGGAAGTGTGTCTTCTATATGAATGCAGGAGTTTTGACAACTCCAACTACTTGGATTCACATGGCTCTGAGGATTAATAATTATTTGCAAAACTTTTCAAACTAGTTTGAAGACAGCTGCTATGCTGCTTGAAGTAGATAGTGAACATGATTGGATAATCATCAAAACTAGATTTTTAAGGTAAAAAAATCTCTGCGAATCCCACACTTTCCTCCTGGCCAGCTGATGCACACACAACAAAGTGTGGGCCTAGGTAACTAAGAAACTATCTTCCATTGGGAGACAAATTATTACCAGACTCCCAGGAAGCTTTTTGATTTGCAATAGCAGTGGTACAGAGAAGTCTCAGTACTTCTTGCTGGCAGAAACCACATACCAGCAATTTAGGGACTTCCCAAACTGGGACTTTGGAAACTTCCAAACTTCTGAGCCCTTGTGTTTAATATGGCCCATGGATGGGGAAAAGCATCTATTGCCAGCTCTGCACCACAATCCTAAATCAACAAGAACTTCGGGGCATCTTTCCTGTAACTTTTCCCCAGGCTCCCCAGTATAAAACTGAGTGTTTGAAAACAAAACCTACAATACTTGTCTACTTAAATATACACCCATAGGCACATACATAAAAGAATTCCCAAGATTTGGTAAGACAGAAGAGAAACAAAATAGTCTTAATACTAATTCTTCCAAGTCTTCTTTTCACTGAATAGATGTTTCTTTCACACTTTTTAACATCACTTGGTAAAACTCTGAGTAGACACAGACTCTGCATATTCATCTCTGCTCCCTGGGAAATTGTTTCCACTACTGGAGCCCTGGGCTGCTACCCGCTTCTGCCTGCAGTACTCCAGGAGCTGCAGCTCCATTTTCTGTACATCCAGAGAAGCTCCTCTCAGCAGCTGTTTCCAAAGCACAAGCCCTTGTCCCCCAGGGTGTTCTTGCTGACCCAGACATTTCTGATGGGAATGTTATACAACTGGGAATAAAACCAAACCAGAAAGGTATATTGACCTTCTTGTTACTTAGCTTATTGGCCTACACGATGAACCACATAACCAATTTTCACAATGATGCAGTTGGGTGAAAAATTATGCCTATTCTTATTTTTAAGTCTCTTGCCTCACATTCTTAAGTGTTCCAAAACTCATCTCACTAGAGTGCATAATCACTACTAATCACCTTCTTTATGATCTGCGTGGCACTATAGTCTACTACTGCTGCTTCCAGATGTAGCTTTTCCCAAAAGTCCTTAGATTTACAAAGTGAAGTTTTTTTTGCTATTTTCTATTTATTTCCCAAGAATTCTATTTCCCTTCAACATTACTGAAAGTACTGACCTAACATTTGCAGAGGACTTCAAGAACTTTCCAAAGTGCTAGATAAATTAAACCCCATTATCATCCATGTAAAGTAAAAATTGCTTTTTCCTAAATGTACTTTACATTCATTAATTTTGAAGCATATTATTTTTCTGCACAGTCATATACTATTGCAGGAGCTTTCTGCTTCTTTAGACCATCTGGTTTAGCTTTCACTACCTTGTATTATTTGTGCCAGAAACAAGCTTTGTTGCAGGTCTCACTTCTTTATGAGTGTTTCAGTAGCACCAGTGAGATCCTCTCCTCTGTGGGACCTGCTTGCAATGACCTGCATAGTCAGATACAAATTAGCTTTCCATTCTTCCTCTAGCATGAAATGTTGTTATCTGTTCTCAGGCTTTTATCCACCCTTTCATTTTCCAATTAATCCAGGAAAGACATTCCCCATGTCACAAAACAGATTAGTTACCTCAGCAGCCCTTGATATCTGATTATGACAAGGCTTGTCAGAATTTCTGATTTGTTGCACAAACAGGATCATTTTTCTTCATAAGTTTGTGCCAGTACATCTTCAAAGAACTCTCAAGTGTTTGTGAGTTGCAATTTCTCTTTCAAAGAGTCTTAGTATCTGTCATCACAGAGCATTTAACCTAGCTGCAGGTAGCTGCCACCACCATGAGGACTTGGTGGAGACTCATGACGTTTCTGAAAGGCCAGCTTTGTCTCGCTAAGATCTATCCCAAGATCTATTTTACCAGGATGTTTTGCTGCAGAAGAATTCTATAAAATGTCTCAAAGGGAGAAAAGGAATTAACAGGGCTTGTTATGGGAGTTTTGAACTACATTAGTAGGGGAATGGGGACACAGCCATGCTCAACAGACATTAAGGTGTGGAAAGGGGAGAGCTATAGCAACTACCCAAGGAGTAAAGGCAGACTTAAGAGGGGCCAACTCCAGTAAATATAGCAAAGATATAACCACAAGACAGGACTGTGGAGCAGTCCTTTGCACCCTCTCTGGGATATTGACACAATCAATAAAAGCAGCACAGCAAAGCATAAACAGTCCAGGAGATTCTGAGAAAGCACTGGTGACAACTTCCTGTCACAGACAGTGGAGGATCCCACAAGGAATGCTGTGCTGTTTGACATTCTGCTAAGAAACATGGAAGGCCTTGTTGAAGATGGGAAGGTTGGGTGCAGGTATGGCTACAGTGACCATGAAATTGCAGTGACTTCAATCAAGAGGCAGATGCCTCCTCAGTAAATTTGCTGATAACAAACTGGGAAGAGTGGCCAGTACTCCAGAGTGCTGTGCAGCCCTTCAGAAGGACCTCAACAGGTCGCAGAGATGGCCAGAGAAGAACTGTCTGTAATTCAACAAAGGCAAATGCAGGGTCCTGCACTTGGGGAGGAATAACCACAGGAACTGGTATAGGCTGAGGGCCAATCTAGTGGAAAGCAGTTCTGTGGAGAAGGTCCTGGGGTGGACAACAAACTGTGTGAGCCAGCTGTGTGGCCTTGGGCCCAAAAAGGCCAGTGGGATCCTGAGGGGCACTTGGAAGAGCATGACCAGCAGGTCATGTGAGGTGATCCTGCCCCTCTGCTCAGCCCTAGTGAAGCCACACTCAGTCCAAGAGAGACATGGAGCTCCTGGAGCGGGTCCAGGGGAGGGCAACAAAGGTGACCAAGGGACTGGAGCATCTCTCTCAGGAGGAAAGGCTGAGGAAGCTGGGGCTGTTCATCCTTGAGAAGAAATTACTGAGAGGGGACCTCATCATACATCTGAAAAAATTTCTTTGTTGTGAGAGCGGTCAAATGCCATAACATGTTGCTAAAGAGGCTGTGGAGTCTCCTGACCTGGAGATGCTGAGAAGTCAATGGGGGCAGCTCAGAGCAACCTGCTCCAGGTGACCCTGTTCTGATCAACGAGGTCAAACAGGATGATTTGGAAACTCAATTACTCTGATTCTTTACAAGGTAAAATGATAGCAGGCAATATTCAGACTCTTCTAAGAGCCAATTCAGAGCTGTTGGTAGAAGCACCTATCAAAAAGGACTCTAGAGGAACAAACAATTTTATGTAGTTGAAATCAATTAGTTGTGACATATTAAAGAACATATGATAGCAAGGGAGCTTTTAGAAGTGAAAAAGTCCTACCAAAAGGCGCAGTATTTTTCTCACTAAATTTAAAAGCAAATTGAAAGAGAAAAAAAAAACAAAACCCAGAGCAAACCCCAATACTGTAGACATTTAAAAGTTGTTTAAAGCATAAAATTAGTTCTAATTTCCTCTTGGATGCAAGAAACCAGACAGTGAGCAAGACTTCTAGAAGGATAAGAAACTGTAGAAAAAACCCCCAGATTTACTTATTATGAGGGTGTCATGATAAAACAATGCTCAAACAATGCCTACCCTAGAACCCTTTTTAGAGGTTTACTTCTTCACAGACTGTAACTCTAAAAACATCTTAACTTCAAGTGTTACTAGAAGCAATTTTGGGACAAAGCAAAAACTGAGTAGAAAGCACCAGGAGGACCAGGTGACATTCAGCTGGCAGTCTGAAAGGACAGCCATCTCCCCATTAGCTGTGCATCATCTCTCTCACAGGTCCACCTCAGCAAACAAGTAGAAAGCAACAAACATAATATTCAGTTTTCTGAGAGATTCAGGATGGACTAAGATGATTTTAATTTTGGTATATAGAGAATATCCTTTTAGGAATTGCAATGCTTTCTATTAAAGTGTGCCAATAGGTTAAAATGAATCTAAAGAAGTCTAAGGGAATATAACTCTTCCAATGGAAGATACTATTTCTTTAAAGGATTTTTAAAACTGTGTGGTTGCATACGCATTTGTATCTGGTTGGCTTTAAAGGTGTAATTTTAAAAGTCATGACATTTCTTTATATTTCATTTTCTGTGCTACAAGACACTAAAGACAAGAGCTTTAAAAGACTGAAAATCACAGAGAAATGAACAGCCTACTTGAGTTTGAATGGTATCAGAACTTAGCAAGGTGATATGAAATCCCCACCTCCTTAGGATCTGATTTTTATTGTAGAATTCTGTGAAACTCCTAAAGAACTGTTAACAATCTGAAGAAAAATCTGATCTAGTCATCTTTTTCTTTTTAGGGACATCTCCAGAACAGCTGTTGCCAACCTTCCTGCCAAAGGACTGGAAAGCTTAAAAGAACTAATGGCCAAAAATACATGGACTTTAAAGAAATTACCAGCTGTAAAAGTATTTCTTCAGCTAATGCGAGCTGACCTATCATATCCAAGTCACTGCTGTGCTTTCAAGAGCTGGAAAAAAAAAAGTGGGTGAGTTTCACTAACTGGCATTTATTCTTTAAATGTATCAGTAAAGATACTGTTTTATTAGTAATATAAAAATACATCTACTGGCACTTTTGTAACCATTTTTTCTAGGTATAAACAATGTTCTTTGAAACAGATTAAAACTGCAAACCAACAGAAGAATTTTTTGTAGGTCCTTTTGCAGCAGTTCCTCCTCTTGTTGAGCCCAGAATTAGAGGGAAATAAAAAAGAAAAAGGTAATGTTTTACAGCAAGCCTGGAAAGAAGTGTTAGAGAGGTTATAGCCTCAAGTGTCATGTTTTCTAACTGAAAAGCTGTTGACTACTGAAAATGTTTTGATTACAAATACAGCTGCATCACACCATGAGGTGCAGGACTCCAAATTGCTGCTCTGCTAGTTAGCTATAAAGAAGCTACTGAATAGAAATTAGACTGATGGAAGTTCTGGGAGAAATTGAATAGTGACCAACAATGAAAAAGAAAGTAATACTGTATATATCATCCAAGAAGTTATAAACAGTAGTTAAATGTCTTCTTACCTACTAAGAGAGTAGATCTCAAAAAAGAAGATGGATTATGGAAGTCAAACAAGTAAAATTACTACTGGGGATAAAATTATAAACACAGTTTAAAAAAAAGTCCAGCAATGCTATTGTACATCATATGATCTGTTAACAAAAATATATCAAATCACATTTTTATAGCTACATTTTCATTCAGGATACTCTGCTTTTGAAGCATTCCCTTTGGTCACATGCTGTGCATCCGTCAGACTGTAAATGCTAGCAGGGATTTCCCCCTCTACTCTTTCAGGATCCTGGAGTACCTGATGTGTAACCAGAGCACCCACGGCTTTCATAAGAGATCAGTCAAGACTCTCAGAGACCCATTTTACAAAGATTATGCAGAAGAATACACGGACCACACCAATGCTGTGTATGACACAAACACCAAGTTCACAGGTTTTCATGAAAATCCCCATTATTACATTTATTTGGAAGAGCGTAGAGAAGGAAGCCTTGGCTTTGGCAAAGAGCTCAAGAACCCTCAAATGGAAGATGTCCAGACCTTTGACAGTCATTATGACTATCTCGTCTGTGGAGGCAATGAAGATGTAATATGTACGCCAGAGCCTGACGAGTTTAATCCCTGTGAGGATATAATGGGATATCAGTTTCTGAGGATTGTGGTGTGGTTTGTGAATCTGCTTGCCATCCTAGGCAACATTTTTGTCCTTTTCATCCTTCTCACCAGTCATTATAAACTGACTGTACCTCGCTTTTTGATGTGTAACTTGGCCTTTGCTGACTTTTGCATGGGGTTATACCTGCTTCTGATTGCTTCAGTGGATCTCTACACCAGGTCAGAGTACTATAATCATGCCATAGAGTGGCAGACTGGGCCTGGCTGCAACACAGCCGGGTTTTTCACGGTCTTTGCCAGTGAACTCTCTGTGTACACCCTGACTGTGATCACCCTGGAGCGCTGGTATGCCATCACCTTCGCCATGCGGCCCGACTGGAAGATTCGCCTCCGGCACGCTGCGCTCATCATGCTGGGAGGGTGGCTCTCCTGCATCCTGCTCGCCCTTCTGCCACTGCTTGGTGTCAGCAGCTACAGCAAAGTCAGCATCTGCTTGCCAATGGACACTGAAACACCAGTGGCTGAAGCCTACATTGTCTTTGTTTTAATATGTAACATTCTTGCTTTTGTCATCATTTGCATCTGCTACATAAAAATCTACGTCACTGTGCGAAACCCCCAGTACAAGTCAGGGGACAAAGACACCAAAATTGCCAAGCGGATGGCTGTGTTGATTTTCACAGACTTTCTGTGCATGGCTCCCATCTCTTTCCATGCTTTATCTGCCATTATGAGCAAACCACTGATAACTGTCTCAAATTCCAAGATTTTGCTGGTACTTTTCTACCCACTCAATTCTTGTGCTAACCCCTTTCTTTATGCTATTTTCACCAAAGCTTTCCGTAGAGATGTGTTTATCCTGCTAAGCAAGTTTGGTATATGTGAGCGTCAGGCTCAAGTCTACAGAGGTCAGACAGTCTCAGCCAAAAACAGCAGTGGGTCATATGGGCAGAGAATCAGCCGAGGGATAGGTCAGATTCTTACAAGCATTCAAGACCCAGTCAATGATTACCTTCCTGCTGTGACAATGCAGAACCAAATTCTCATGGAAGAATGGAAGCAAACTGAGCTATAACATCTCAAAGTATCACAGCCAAAACCTGGTCAAGAGGTGATTGTGCATATAGTGAATCAAGTGAGAAGATAATATTTTATCCATAGCCTTTTCCCCTAGATTATGCTTTGCTACATAGATGAAAGTACCTCCAGAGTGGTCTTCTTTTTGGCAAACCACTTATTTGAACCTCTTATCAGTGCAGGGCAAAACATACGGTCCTGATGATAATTCTAGAAGTAGATGTGAATACTCCACCTAAATAGGAAAAAAAAAAATCTCTAAACTGAGCAAATATAAAATACACCCTCATCTTAAAAAAAAAAAAATGTAAGAAGCAGAAGCCAACAATAAGACTTGGGGGTACTTATATAACTAAAAAACCCCAAACTGACGAAGTTTGATAATTAAAATCATATTTTAAAAAAAATTAAAAGTTGAAGCTCTCTAATGCCTACATGTCAAAAGGTTATTTTTTTTTCTTATAGCAAATTTCTAAAATTTCCACCAGGCCTAAAATGGATCAGATTTCTTCTCATTCTGTCATCCTGACCTAAAGCAAATCTAGTCCTTTGTACACTGTTCTTGGTTTAGTTTGGTGTGGTGGGACAATAAGGTTCTTCATACTGCCTTTACAGTGGTAAAAGGCAAATCATCACTGATTTTGCAGCTGCTCATAAGGTAACAAGTAAGAAACATTAGGACATTTGTGTCCCTTACTATCACTCTTTCACTTTCTGATAAATGTATTTCAGAGCTGGTTTATTTGAATTTGTTTTGAAGACCAGGTTACCCAGTCAAATTAATGATGGCTGTTTGGGTATTTTTTTTGGATGATCCAGTTGTTACCATATTTCAGTGCTGTTTTAGCTGAGCATGTTTATTGCTCTGAGCATCCTGTAATTCCTGCTTTCTTACCATTTCTGCTGTCCCTACTTACCTCTCTCTTACAGGGTAGAACTTTCCTTTCAGCATTTCTATGTTGAGCTGCCTCAAACCGCAATTTAGACCAAGGGAGTGGATCTTGCCTTTAGGTTACTTCATGCTACACAGTTTACTGCACTGCAGACTGACTCCTAGCTCCTCCAACACATTTTAATAACATCTCTCTATCTTGTAGTGAGATCTGTTACCTGACCTTTGTAATGTTTGCAGCACAGCTGGAAGAATCACAGAGTTATCTTCTGGCTGACCACAGCCTGGCTGTAGGTGGGACATGTGCTCTCCAGAGTGTGCTTAAGGAAATCCATGCTCAGACACAAGGAACAACCCCCAGTCTAAAGCATTAAAGCAACCTTCTGTCATACGTGATGCTAGATGGGGCCAGACCAAGGTCAAGCTTGGCTGTGCTCATCTCATTCATACACCACGAACAAATGAACGGAGGCCTGGCTCTCTACACCTCCTACAGACATCAGGACTCAGGCTAGGAGCTGCATGGTTAACACTTGAGTGGTCTGAGTACCTGGCTTTGCTGGCAGGATCACACCTGGTCCACAGACTGGCTCTGCAGAACTGCTACCAAGGTTACCAGGGATCATTTCATTTATCTATTTGAAAGCCTTGGCAGAAGAACAGAAAATATTGTGTGAATACTAGCCTTCAGGCAGGCGTTTTAAAATTAATTTTATAATATCTATGCTGTTTTTCATGGAATTATAGGCTTTGAGGAACTATAATTAAACTGATCAGAAAATAGTCAGAATTTATATAATGTGGGCTAGTATTACCCAAAAAACCATAATGGTAGAGCCCTTTGAACTGCTGGCTACTACATCTGGAAACTGAGTGATTGCAAATGCCATGTACATACTGTATTTGATTCTGTATTTTTCAAATATTTTAAACTCAATTTGATTCTGTATTTCTGATTATAAATGAAGGCTGCTTCAGCGAGCAGAAGCAAGGGGCTAGATTCATTAATTCCATGGCATGGTCTTATAGAAAAGAAATAATCTATCATTGCTAATGCCATTAAAAAAAAATCTACAATATAGCATTATAGACTAATTTAGCTGCTTATTTTGGGCAAGACGCATGTTTCCATTTTAGGTTGATTCTCAGAAAACTCAAAGCAAAACTGCTGAAACCAATACAAATAATAATTTATGACTTTCTCTTCTGTAATCTGGAGTCGCCCAGTGTTACATCAGAAACAAAGACATCTTAAGAGTGTGGATCAGCAAAATTCCTTACTCTTGAAACAGGTGCATTTGTAATGCCCTGGCCATGTTCAAGAGTCCCATACAAACATGGGACTTCTCAGATGCAACATCCTGTCCCCCCTGCCAGGTTCTGTCACCCTTCTGATACTGGAATAACCATTAAAGGGAGAAAAAGTTTCCTGAGTGAAGACTAAATCAAAATTTATGCTAAAAAGTGCTTTTAAAAGTAGCATGGATCTTAAACCAGTATATTTATTTCACAGAAACTAGTAAGACTTTGGAAAGATGTGGTATGTTGGGCTGGTGCAGGTTGCTTGTAAATTAACGCAGATGTTTGCTGTTACTAATGGATGACATATATCAGTATATATATGGATGACATATTACTCAGTATTGAACTCTTCTGTCTCTCATCATTGCATATACACATGCCTGTTAAAAGAATTCCGAGATACTGCTTTCATCAAAAAATTTGATATTTCCAGTTTGTCCTGCATAGTCCTTGTGTTTAACTTGGTAAAAAATATTCTAGAAGCTCTTGGAAAGGTCCAGGCAAATACAATTTAAATAATTTATTTGCCAGACTGTTTATTGTAAATGTTCGTATCCTACAGATATTCTCTTCCATTCCTGCTCTGATCAATTCCTTGAGCCATTTTTGGGTTTGCACACACCTTTATGTAATACTTGGTATTTTAAATCTGTCTTGGCAAGTTGTATTATTTCTGGCATTTAGTATGTATGCTCTCTAAAATCCTTCAGAAATAATGCAAAACATGGGAATAAAATGTTTTGTTTGAAATTGGGAGAGGCTCAACAAATTTTCTGAGGTAATTTTTAAATATATTTCCTATAAGAGAAGTTAAAACTATTTCTTTTGCATTCAGTTTCATTGCTCTCCTTGGCTGTCCTATCCCATGACATGCTGTCTGATGGAGGCTTGGGGGGGTTTTAGCTCCATCACTAGCTGTGAGAGGGATGTCCTAAATGGCCATCTCAGACAGTGCAGCAGGGGTAGAAAGGAACAACAGCACTGCTCAGCTCAGAGGATTCACAACCATCATTCATTACATACAAAATAATCCAAAAGAAAAAAAAGCTGTGAAGTTGAGATGGGCCCTTAGTTATGAATACCTGGAGGGCAATTTAATGGCTTTAGGCGGCCTCTGGTAGTCACCTCTCTCCCCTACAAAGAGAAATGAGGGTTTTTTATAGAGTAGGCATTGGTTCTAGATGACATCATCTGCAACAGGTCAGCTATAGTCAAAGTAAAGCACACTCTGCCCTGCTATTGGTATCTGGATTCTGAAAATAGTACAAGCAATCAAAGATAAATTTCACATCGCTACCATAGCATTTTGGTTTATTGACATAAATGCCCTCTTGCTTCCTTTTTTTTGTGGGATAAATAATGTATTAATTCTCACAGTACAGGAAAATATGCACCAAAAAATCTCCTTAGAAAGAGAAGCCTGATTTGAGTAGAAGCCCTATGCTTATGTGTTAATATAAACCAAACCCTCCTTCCCAGGCTGTTTGGGCAGACTGATGAGTAACAGCAGCATAATCTGTATTGTTTTTCGAACAGCTGCCAGGCATCTGCACTCTAAAACTGCTCCATAATCAAATGGTTTCTGGGTTGCTGTTAAAATTGGACCAGTGAGGCACAAAATTAGTTGTATATTATGCCTTTCCCTTAGGCACTCTCCTCCTCCTTTGTAGGGATTCTGAAAACATATGACATTATACTGCACTTACATGTAGGCTTCATGGACTAAGGCCTGAGATGTTGAAGGGCCCTCATCATGCCCTGGAACAGAAGATGGTTAAGAGGTCTTAGTGACGCACATCGGGAGATTCTGACAGTGTCGTTAACCTAGAATTCACACTGGTCAATTACACATCTCCATAAAGCTGGAATACTTTTCATCTGTTTAGTCACTTCCATCTGACCAGACTTATTTTTTGTGTGACTAGAAATGGTGATTTCAAAGTGAACAAATAAAGTCTCTATAAGGTAAATACACAGAGTATGTCATCAGAACCCATCAGCTCTAACTTATTCCACACCTGCCGCCCTGTGCCCCCATCTACACACATTGGTATGAATTTCCAAAGTATTCCAGATTTCTAGGTTCTCAGACAGGATACCAGTCCTGTGTAGTTTTGTAACTGCCTGGCCTTACTTTTCACCCTGAATATATTGAGTAACTATTCCAAAACGTGGAAAAGTCGCATGAACTGTAGAACCAGACTTGGACCTCATTGCGGCCATCCTGAACTGACACCTTTCAAGAGTTTAAATTCTGTGGGATTAATATAATCACTTGAATCTTACCCCACCTTTTTGGGAGGACTTCTCTGTGCCATCCTGATTATATGCAACACCTTGTACTTGTACTTGGGCTTGTACTTGTGGCCATCTCAAGTCATATCCTGACTGCTGCACACCTGTGCAGTTCCGCTGAAGCTCTTGAAGCTTTGATAATGAGAAGGAACCCACTCATTTTGGTTCTCAGCTATTCAATATGCAGCTGTGATGAGGAGTATCCTTTGGGTTATTTTTCTTCTGTCTTAAGAAAAGAAATACGTTGTGAACATCAACTTCATTAACAACCTGTATCTAAGAGCTCACTAGTCATTAGAAAGTACTGAAACTATTGGACTATTACATGTATACTGTGACACTTTTTATACTTTGCTGCCAGGAACAGCCTCTGTTTCAAACACTGAGACTGGTAATTGGCTGGACTGCAAAGCCCATGCTGATTGTCTTACAGGTTCAGCTGAAATAACAGTGGCTTTTCTTTGAAAAGTGAATAAAAACTATAGTACTCATGTCTTTTATGAAGGCAAAGCTGCAACAAATTAAATCTGAGCAGTAACATTACTTTTAACAAAAACCTTCTCACTACAGGTTCTGAGGTGCTGCCTAAATGTCTGTCCTCCCCATGGCTTGCTGCTGGCATATGCAGGATAGAACTAATCTCAAAGCAGCACCAAAGCTGTATTTCATTCTGACTGTAGTAAAAATTCCCTAAGTTATATGTGGATTATTGCTGCTGCCTAGAGGGAGCTGTGGAAACAACAAATGAATTCTTTTTTAGCCAGCTACTGATTTCCAACAAAACCCTGCAACAGTCAGTATAAAGCAGCAAGTATATTCATTAAAAAGCAGTTAGGAGAGTGTCTGACACATTGGCACATGCGCTTCCCCCATGGAAAGTCCAGAAGGTTAAAAGAAGGTTTTTTCAATTCATACATACACTTCTTTGACATGAAAGTATGCTTGCAATCTCTCCTTGATTTTTGTTTTTTTAAAGGCTGGCTGCATTATTTTATCTTTTCGTGTGTACTGTTTCCTCTTTCCATTTTCCCTTTACACCTCCTTCCTCTGCTATTGCAAAACCCCACACTCCATTTTAAGAATTACTTTATGTTTCCCACCTACTATCTGAAATGATTTAGGCTACCTGGCAACACAAGAACCTCTGTGAGAAATAACCAAGCTGTTTAAGGACATGAAAATCATTTACAGCAGAAAATGAAAGCTAAAAGATACTCTGAACAAAGATTAATTTCATTTGGTAAACTTAAGAACTGCTCTACTTTCTCTCTGCCCCCTCCCAAAATCAACTTAAGTGATACATGCAAAAACATGTGATATGAATATACTTCACCTTTAGCTACCTGATTTTTAACACCAGTATCATCATCACACTTATCAAGCCCTTTGTCAACTCTTTAAACACACAGGGAATTTCACGAGATGCTGCTTTAATGTTTTAAGACTAAAACTACTTACTAAAATCAGACAGACAAATTCAGACAGACAAAAACCAGTGTGCCAGAAATATTATTCCCAGCACCAATGCTTTTTCTTCATTAAAACCATGAGAACAAGGTGAGCTCAGGAGGAAAGGGCTTCCATCCTGCAACAATTTGAATTTTCTGGACCAAAAGGCAATCTGTGCCAAAACAAAACCCACAAGCAGTATTCCCAGCAAATGAATGCTGCAGTAAGTCCTTTTTAAGAGACGTTGTATTCCCACACCACTGT